TATGCATTCAGGGCCAGCTCTGTATAGAGAAAACCAGGATTACAAAGTCAGACTGTCTCAAATAATAAAAAAAAAATAAAGAATAAAGTGAGAGCCTGGCAAAATGGCTCAGCTGGTAAAAGCCCTTGTTGCCAAGCCTGACATTCTAAGTTTGATCCCTGAAACCTGCGTGGTGGAAGGAGAGAACCAGCTCCTCCACACACACCATGGAACACCTGCACCCACACACTAACACACACAATAAATAAACGAAAAAAATGTACAGGGCTGCAAAGATGGCTCAGCAGTTAAGAGCACTGGATGCTCTTCCAAAGGTCCTGAGTTCAATTCCCAGCACCCACATGGTGCCTCACACATCTCTATCTCTAGGGTATCCAACCCTCTTCCTGCCTCTGTGGGCACTGCATTCCTGTGGTGCACAGACACATAGACCAATTGTGTGTATATATTCATACATATAAAATGAATAATAAGCCAGGCGTTGGCGGTGCAGGCCTTTAATCCCAGCACTCGGGAGGCAGAGGCAGGCGGATCTCTGTGAGTTCGAGGCCAACCTGGTCTACAGAGCAAGTTCCAGGACAGCCTCCAAAACAATACATCGAAACCCTGTCTCGAAAAACCAAAACAAAAACCAAAAAACAAAAACTAAATCTCAAAGAAAAGTTTTTAAGGACTTTGCCTTTTTCGTGGAAAGAGTTTATAAGAAGTTCAGAAATGTAGGAAAACAGTGGCTCATGTTGAAAAGGTTTAGAAATCAAGGGAGCAATCTGAGTGTAAGAAAAAGTTGTTAATGTGGATAGCCCCTGCTAATAGTGTTTTTTTAGGAGGCGGGGTGGGAGGAGAGGCTGGAGAGTCACTGTGGTGATATTTTGTTTATGATCTAACAAATAAAGCTTGCCTGAGGATCAGAGTGCAGAGCTCGCCACACTAGTGAGCCATAGAGCCCAGCAGTGGTGGTACACACCTTTAGTCCCAGCACTGGGGAGATAGACACATCAGATCTCTGTTAGTTCAATGCCACCCTGAGTTACACGAAGTTGATCCGGTCTAAAAGAGACACAGAGCTCACACAAAGATGTCCCAGAACTTGGGAGGTGGAACCAGGAGTGATGTGGGCAGAGAGAGGAATATAAGGCGGGAGGAGACAGGAGCCCAGTGCAGTCTGAGCAGCACTCAATCTGAAGCAGTCTGAGGACAGGGTCGCCCCTTTGGTCTGAGCACTGGTAGAGGTAAGAACTCTCTAGTGGCTGGCCACTCTGCTTCTCTGCTCTTCAGCTTTCACCCCGATAGCTGACTCTGAGTTTTTATAATTAAGACCAATTAGAATTCATGCTACAGGTCACCAGGGTGGTATAGTATCTATTGTCATGAGAGAAGTGGTCTAGAAGGCAAGTCTAGTTCCAGTGTGCTGGACTAGACCTTCAGGATCTGGCCCTGTCCATCATGTGCCTCTCTGTTTACCCATCTCTTTTACACATGTGTGACACACATGTCTTCCATGTCTATGCATGCTGCTTTCTCTATCTGGAATATTCTGTTTCCCCCCACAGTTTGCTTGGTGAGCAGCTATTTTTAAAATCATGCTCAGACTTTATTTCTTTCCTAATCAAACCCCCAGGCAGAGCTGATCACTCTGCTTCTTTACGCTGTCATGCTCTCTTATTAGATCACTTGATCCCAGCCCTAGCCCTGACATACGAGTGCTCATAAGATCCAAACACGTGAACCAAAATTGCAAATATTTGAAGGCTGGCACTGTGGCTGGAGACAATTTAACAGGTGCATCTCTAGAGACCCAAGAGCAAAGATGAGTGGGAGCATGTGACCACAACACAACCCCAGTGGGGACCATTGTTAAAGAAGGGATGAAAAGATTGTACGGCCAGAGGAACAAGAAGTTTGCTGTAAGGATTGTGTCTAGTGGAAACATCAGAACCTATACACATGAAGTCTCAACAATATGGCTGCGTAAACATGACCTGAACGAGGATGATACAAGTAAACATGTTAACATGGAGGGGGAAAGTTCACAGGGCCTCAACCCTACACAAAGAACTACAGGCAACTAAGGAGTGCTGAGAGCAGGAGAAACAGTCTTCCCCAGGAAAGAGCACACACATCTACTGATTATCGAATACCAGATGTGTTAGTATTCAGGCATCTGCACTGGCCTGCCCTTGGGGTCCTGACAGGATGCACCCTCAGCTGTAGCCACTAAGAGCACCACCTGTGCACATTCACTGTGTCCCCTTTTAAAACGTGGGTCTTGCCAACCTCCCATCTCTTTCTCCCTCTCTCTGTCTGTTCCCCCCTCTCACTATTCTCTTTTGCCACTCCTGTCCCCAGAGGCTTGTTACCCCCCTCCCCTCTCCACTTTTCCATTCCCTTCCCCCAATGAAAAAATCCCTCTGTTGCATGGTCTCTTTCTCTCTCACTTTTTAAATTACAAGAAGGTCATCCCTGAAATCATATACATATAAGTAAAATACAGACTTAGCAGGTTGTATTTATATTTTTAGGAACACATATATACACCTATATATGTAGCAATGAAAAAAGAAAAAAGGGCTGGAGAGGTGGCTCAGAGGTTAAGAGCACTGACTGCTCTTCCAGAGGTCCTGAGTTCAATGCCCAGCAACCACATGGTGGCTCACAACCATCCATAATGAGATCTGTTGCCCTCTCCTGGTGTGCAGACATACATAGAGGCAGGATGTTGTATTCATAATAAATAAATAAATCTTTAAAAAAAAGAAAAAAGAAAAAAATTAAAGAAAAAAGAGATCATGAACTTGATTATGGGAACTTTCGTTTTGATTTGAGTTTAGGGTTTTTTATTTTTATTTTTTTCTGTTGTTGTTTTTGTTTTTTTTCAAGAAAGGGTTTCTTTGTGTAGCCTTGGCTGTCCTGGAACTAGCTCTCTAGACCAGACTGGCCTTGAACTCACAGAGATCTCTGCCTCTCAAGTGCTGGGATTAAAGGCATGTACCACCACCATTCATGGGCAAGGCCATGAATTTAAAATAGAGCAAGAGAGAGATTATGAGGGAGAGTTTGGAGTAAGGAAAGAAAAGAAAATGTATGGAGATTATGTCAATTAAAAAAAAATGTTCCTGCTGCCAGGCAGGTCAGATGACCGAGTTGGTCCCCAGGTCCTTTATGGTGGAAATTCAGGAGAAACTCCCATCAGTTGCTCTGTTGTACAGGAAGGACTATATTCCAAGCCCACCTGCCTCCATCTTTACAGATCATCCACGTCTGCTTGTAAAAGACTGTCTGAGGAGAAGGGGTGGGCAGGGTCATGGGACCCCCACTCAAGTATTCAGTCACCCCTCCCAACCAGCTGAATGCAAGTGTGCTCTAATCATATGTGGCTGCAAGGAGGGGCTAGAGCAAGCATGCAGGCAGGGAGGGGCTATGGGAGGGGCTATAGGAGGGGCTATGGGAGGGGCTTCATCTACACAGCCACAGGGGTTCATCACCAGTACTGGTGCAGATCCAACTGTGGCTTCTTCAAGGTTACCCACCTCCTGACCATGGCTTCCCTGAGTGAACTTTGGTGGAAATGCACTTTAGTTTGTCATTGGGACCTAGGAGGGATAGGTCTTTTCTTCATCCTCCTCTTCTTTGGGATGTGTGTGGGGGGGTGTGCGCCCATGGGTGCCCGAGGAGGTCAGAGGCATTCAGGAACTCTGAGCAGCCTGATGTGGGTGCTGGGAATTGAACTTGGTCCTCTGTAAGAGTAATGCATACAAACTGGACATTGGTGGTGCACGCCTTTAATCCCAGCACTCGGCAGGCAGAGGCAGGCAGATCTCTGTGAGTTCTAGGCCGGGCTGGACCGACAGCCTCCAAAACAATATGGAGAAACCCTGTCTCGTAAAAACAAAACAAAACAAAACAAAAACAACAACAAAAAAAGAGTAATGCATACCCTTAAACACTGAGCCATCTCTCCACTTCTGACCCTTATGTAGTTTTAGCTGTGCATCCTCCGTACACCTTGGTGAACAAGTGTGTGTACATGCACACTCATACATTAAATAACCTGTAATACTTTTTTTTAATGGAATGTTTTGGCAAATCAGGAATGATGGCACATACCTATTGTCCCAGCACTTGCTTTGAAGTCAGGGCTGAGAGAGAGAGAGAAAGAGTATTTTGGTGAAGACTTAATTGGCACAGGTTGGGTCTGTGGTCAGGAGGTGACCATGACCATCCTGAGTCAGACTCCAGTGGGCTGAGGCCAGAAGAGGAACAAGATAGTTGCCACACAGTGGGGACGCCATCTCCACACACTGGGGGTAGGAGTACAACTGGAGAGCAGAGGGACTGGACTCCATCACTCGTGCTTTCTGTCCCTTTGGGCTCCAGCTGCGGGCACTTTCTGGGTGCAGGGTTGTGGAAGGCACAGATTAAACCCACCGTGGTCACCCCCAAAAGTTTAGCTAGTGCTTAGCAGCTGCTCTGGAAATGTTGATGGATATAATCATTTTCCTGGGTGTTAGGACTTGGCTCATTTCCCTCTTCTGACCTTAGGAAATGACGCCTGAAGGGGTGAAGGAGGTTCTAGAAGCCTTTGTTGAGCTGCTTATATAACGCTTGATACTGGTAAGGGTTCTGGGGAGACAGAGAATGTGTGCCCAGGAACCTTGGGATCCTCTGGACAGAGGAGTTCGCTGAAATAGGTGACAGAACTTGTGTAGTGTTGATGGGGCCCCTTTCAGAATCTATGTCTAGCTCCCTTTCCCTGGGTCTCTTTAACTACCCTTTCTCTTTCTAAAAGCTTCTCTGAAAACTGGAAGGGAGCAAAAGAAGGTTGTGGGGAGGCCGAGATACTAGGCACCCTCTCTGTGTCTCAGAGCAGCGTTTCTCTGCAGGCCTCCCTGGCCCTCGGGTCAAGCAGCGCGCTGGTCGGGGGAGGGACAGCAGCAGGTGACAGCAGCTTTGGGCTATAAATAGGGGCGCGCGTCAGTGTCGGGCAGGAGCCGGGGCTGGAGGCAGGGGTGGCGGTGCTATGGGGTCGCGGAGGGCCGTGGGCCGGGGCTGGGGCCTGGGTGGACGGGCAGGGGCGGGTGGCGATGGCGAGGACGACGGGCCGGTGTGGACGCCCGGCCCGGCTAGCCGTAGCTATCTGCTCAGCGTGCGGCCAGAGACTAGGTGAGTCGTCTTGGGCCCTGGGTCGACCGGGGCGGCCCTTTGCCCGTTGGGTGGTGGGCGGGTGTGGCCAAGCTCTCAGAAGCTCCCCGAAGCTATGGAGGCCTGGGGTGAGGCCTCGAGCTTTCTCAACCCTAAGGCCCTGAGGTCTGAGGACAGAAACAGGCCAGAAGGACCCGGTACCTCATGGTACTCTTGACCCCTTGGGACCCCTTGTGCCTCAAATGTGCATCCCAAGAGAGGAGAAAGGCACTTTTGAGATGATTTTACAGGGGCCTGAAGGCTTTTCTTATCTCCCTCACCCAACACTGGGCTACTCCCAGAGTTGGATTCCACAGTTAGTGATAAGGAGATTCAGAGTGACTGAAATTCCTAGGCTTCAAAGGGGAGCGAGCTGCTGGTGGGTGGGTGTGGGGAGCCAGTGGAGGCTATTTAGCTTAGAGCGAGAGAGACGAATCAGCGGGATAACTCAAGTTCCTCCTCTGGGCCCAGGGCTTTGGCCTTCCAACACTGTGTTGTGTCTAGCTGAGAGAGAGGGGTGCCAGGAGGTGGCCATGTCTGGGAAACTGGGGAGGGATCTATGGCTTGAAGCTCTGAGGGAGTTAATTGCCCTGCCCAGTTTCAAGACCAGTAGGGGCTGAGATGCCACAGGAGAGGTGATGAACTCTTCATTGGCCTTCTTGGAGTGAGAAAAGTTTGAAGACTTTGTTCTAGGAGCTATGTTATTCCTGGATAAAAGGACACACAGACAATAGGCAACTTTCTGGAAAGACACTCAAAGGTGTAGACACTCAGGAACTTGTGCATTGCCGGGCAGGCAAGCTTCCTGCCCTCTACTCCTGAGCGGTTTTCCAAAGGGGAATGTGGCAGTGGTGGCTCTTGGGATAGGTGTTACTTCTTAGCGTAGAATTTGGCTGGTGTACCGTGCAGAAGTTGTTTCTCTGAGAAAGAGTTTGCAGACCTCTGCTCTCAGGAGCACCAATGACATTCAGGAAAAGCCCTGGGCACGTCCACCAGGATGGGCTGAGTCCTATTGACCTTGGAGTTGGAAACGTTCAAATGTAACCGGAACCTGTTTCTGCATAAAACTCCGCAAATGGTGTCACATGTTTGGGGCAGGGCTGAGGACTGTGTTAGCGACTGAGTCAGACTCTGCCAGGCTCCCGGGCTGCTGGGGGTTGCACCCTTTCCTGTTGTTGGCTGTGGGGAACACTGCAATGGAATGTGGACATTTACTGTAGAGCTTAGTGAAGCGGGCTCCCTAGTGACAGCCTCTTGTTATCTCGCTTGTCGCCGTGGCTTATCTGGGCATTGCTTCTCTCCTGTCTGGCATTTGTCAATACCAGTGGAACAAGGAGAGGAAGCAGGGATTTTCTAGCGGTGGAGGAAGGGAGGAAAGGATGGTTTGAAAGCCAGGAAGAGAGGAGTGGGCTCAGGATCTTACGAACGAGGTGGAGCTCGGGCATGGGGTGCTTCTTGGCTGAGTTTGTGTTAGACATTTTTCTATGTGCCAGGCGGAGGGCTGGAAGTAAGAAAAGCTTGCCTGGCGTGAGTCCTTGGACCTTAATGGGGATGCTGTTAGAAGGCTGTTCTTGTTGGGTTTTTGAAGGCTCCGGACAGAAGAGTGGGAGAGAGCGTTTTTTTTTTTTTTTTTTTTCTAGTCTTGGACTTGGGATAGTTTTGCCCCTGTACTTTTTCACCTCCTGCCAACTGGCTACGGACCCTCACCCCACCTCCTCCCCATGGGTCCCGAAAGAACAGCCAGATTTGTTTGGCTTCTGGAAGAGCCCATGGCAAAAAAAAAAAAAAGCGTGTAAAGTGGCCCGATCTGGGGTGGGTGGAGGGACCGTTCCCAGTACTGTGGGAAGGTCTGACTTGCGTTGGAGGAGGAGCTGCACACTCTGCTTGCTGCGCCTCCAATGCCTGCCTGTGGGGATGGAGGGAGACCAGGAAACAAAGAGAAGAGGGGTCGCTTGAGGACTTTGCTAGTGTGGTCCGTTCCAGCCCAGCTGAGCCCTGACTATCCCTGGGTTCTGGCAGAGAGGGGAGTTCTGCCCTCACTCAATGTGGGTCCAAAATATTCTGAGTCTGCCATTCTGTAGATCTGTTTCGGAGCTTTTGTTTGGTTGTTTTTTTGTTTTTGTTTTTTTCACAACAGGGTTTCTCTGTGTAGCCCTGGCTGTCCTGGCACTCACTCTGTAGACCAGGCTGGCCTCCAACTCACCGAGATCCGCCCGCCTCTGCCTCCTGAGTGCTGGGAGTAAAGGCATGCGCCACTGCCTGGCTTGCTGTGGGGCTCTTAAGGCATCCTTCCCAAGGCCACTGAGGCTGGACTTTCCCTGAGAGCTATGGACAGCCTCAGTGGCTGGGACTCCAGAATCTGTGTGTTCCACATTTCCTGCCTGCCCCACGGTCCTTAGAGGGATTTCTAGTCTATGTCTGTTCACCGCTCACTGAGCTCAGAGGAAGAAAGCCCTACTTGGCTATCCTATCTGACAGTCTCTGCTCTTCAAGGGGCTGTGAGAACCTCACACCTCTAGGCAGGTAGTATGTGCATAGGTTACATACAGTACTTTAGAGAACTGAACTTGAGAGCAAACAATGACTGATGAGCTTTCGTGAGATACTCAGAGGCTGTCAAGTCCCTGGCCCTTGTTTCAGGAAGATCTTGGCTCTGGTGACCTCACAGGAGCAGAAGGCTGTGACATTGCTACAGACCACTTTGAAACAACCTCTGCTGCTCCCCTTGGCTAAGGCAGGTTGTCTAGGGTGTTGGGGAAACTAAGACATTGGGCCAGAACTTTCTAGAGGCCTTTTAGGTCCAGAGTGGACGAAAAGCAGGGTGATGGGAGGCGCCCCACCTCCACTCCTGCCCTGGTTCGTCAGGCCCATTTGCTCCTTTGTGAGGAGAACTTTGCTTTCTGGGCCCTGAATTCCTATTCTGCCATGGGATTGTGACAAGAGCTCTGAAGCCCTTCAGCTCCGACATTAGATGTCTCCGACCCTCCCTGCCCTCCCCTCATTCCACACAACCAGAAGCTCCTCTGCTAGGGTCAGTCAGTCAGCTAGGCCCCAACAGGCCTTCAGCCTTTCGAGGACCAGGAGCCCTTGTAGGCCTCAGACTCTTCTGGCCTGATTTCACATGTAAGGTAAGGGGCTGGAGAGACGGCTCAGCAGCTAAGAGTATGTGCTGAGCTGGGAGGTGTTGGCACACACCTGTATTCCCAGCAATCAGGAGGCAGAGGCAGGCCGATCTCTGTGAGTTCTAGGCCAGCCTGGTCTACAAAGCAAGTTCCGGGACAGCCAGAGTTGGTTACCAGCACCCACATGGGTGGCTCATAACTGCCTGTAACTCTAGCTCCAGGGGATCTGTCCTCACGGGGCACCTTACTCTCACATACATGTACATGTGCAAATAATTTTAAAATTATAAAAGTAAGCCGGGTGGTGGTGGCACACGCCTTTAATCCCAGCACTCAGGAGGCAGAGGCAGGTGGATCTCTGTGAGTTCGAGACTAGGCTGGACAGACAGCCTCCAAAATAATGAGAAACCCTGTCTCGTAAAACCAATAATAATAATAATAAAAGTAAAATCTTTAAAAATAAAATCCCCTTAACCAACAAACATGTAAGGTGAGGTTGAAGGACAGTGGCGCCAGGAACAAAACCTCACAAACAGTCCGAGAGACATGGAGAGGACACAGTGTCTCAGCTCAGCCTCTTGCCCACGTGGAGGTGGAACCTGTCATTTTCCGTTGTAAATTAGAAAGCTGGCCCAATGCCTCCCTTCCCGGGGAGGAGGTCCAGACTTATGGGGAAATCTCTCGATTCCAAGGAGACGGACAAAGGCTGTTCGTGGTCAGGAGAGGATAGGGTTGCCAGCACCCTGAAACTAAGGGAGGTTCTGCCCACACAGCCTCCAGAGGATTTTTGAACCTCCGAGCAAAGGCCCCTGCAGTGTGTGCCCTTTTCCTGACTCTTCTGGGGCAGCAGCCTGGCGGGGAGGGCCCTTCCTCTTTGAAATGCTCTCCCTTTCTTCCTCTCCACCTCCTTTTCGTCCAACAGTCATGATTACCATTGTGTGCCTAGCTCTACCTGAAGAGCCACAGAAGCTATAAAAAGACCTGGACTTAAAGGCTGTGTGGGTGGGGTTTTGCTGAGCAGAAGGAAGAGAGAAGTGATAGCCTCGGATGTGGCCATGCTTGGGTGTTCTTGGCTGCCGTACAACCTGAGTGTTGGAAGGGACCGTTAGGCCAGACAGGGCCTTGACTGTTGACACCAGTTGAGTCTGGACAAACAAGCGGAAGGTGTACTGCAGCATTTTCTACACAGTGCTGTGTGATGCCAAGTATGACGGTACATGCCTGCAATCCCAGCCCTTGGGAGGTTGAGGTAGGAGGATTGCTATGAGTTCAAAACCACCTTTGGCTACACAATAAGTTTGAAGCCTGGGTTACATCAGACCTTGTCCCCCCAAAATCAACCAAACAAGCAAACAGGGTAACAAACCCAAACAACAGCCTGTGAGAGGATCATGGGATAAAGTGGGGGGGGGCAGGGGGCCGGGAGCGCTGGTGTTAAGTGTGGAACTGCCAGGGTATGGATCGGAGCATGACATGGACAGAGTGTTAGAAAAGGAGAAAGAAGTGTTGGTTGGATTTGTGGGAAAGAGGAGAAGGAAGAGTTTAAGATGGAAGGTTTTGAGCATAGATTTTTTTTGGAAGGACACTGGTGGCGTCCAAATAACCCAGGTGCAAGGGAAGAGAAGGGGCGAGTTATCACGAGACGGAAATTCAGGCTTCCCCGAGGGCCACCGGGCAGGCTTAGGGCACCTTAAAGAAGGGTGAAGTCACAGGGTGTGTATGGTGGGATGGCCCTTGCCATTTCCCAAAGACCGCGGTCTGCTGGAGGGAGGGCGCACCGCTTAAGTGTGGTCTCACTCCCCAGAGGATGAGGCCCTCTTCCCTGCCCTGTCTCTGAGCGGATGTGAGGCTGGACCGAGGGAGTTGGGTGTCTCTGGCCCCCGCTGAATTAACTGTTTTGTTTCCCTCCTCCTCGCTCTCCCAGCTGGTTTGCCTTGCTCTTTAACCATACTTTAACATATTAATGGCGGGTGTTCTCCAAGCCACCTGCCTTCTCCAAGCCTGTGCCCTGTGCGGGGATTTCCGGGAATGAGGCTGCCCTCCATCAAAGGCAAAAATTGAAGCAGCAGCTACCCACAGGCTGGTATGCTGTGGGCGGGGACAGACGCAGGCCTCCCTCTGGGGAAAGACGCTTATGCCTGATGTACACCCTTCTCTCAAAGCACAGGGACCCCCGTCCTGCCTAACCGATGTCCTGGACTCTGCTGTGTTTAATGAGCTCTTGGTTTAGATATATTGGTGTCCAGTGGTGAGGCCTCTCGCTGCTAACAGGAGTGGCCGACTAAGACAGCTGGTTCCTTTTAATAGAGAGGCCTCTGGGCCTCAGATGGTGGCCGATTAATACTTTGTGACTGTTGTTGATTTTGCCTCCTCTCCTTGCTTTTGGGCCTAATGATTCCATTTACTGTTTTTGCTTAGCTTATCAAGCAGCCGGTTGTCTCACCCCAGCTCTGGAAGGTAAACGCACATTGCATTACATTCTCCGACTGCTTTTGAGAGGCCTCGAGAGGCCACTGAGTGACTGCTTGTACACTAACCAGGCTGCATGGGGTGACAGGGAGGGTGTAAGAGGGTACTCACACGGGCATAGGTCTCACAGGGAAGGGCAAGAGTTGATGTTTGCATGGGCCTGGGACTCAGGGACAAAGATGTAGGGAAGAGGTCCTGACATGCCTGCCAGGATAGCTCTCTGCCTTTGGAACAGGCACCACAGGGGACACAGCCGGCAGACACCAGTCACAGGAGCCACACGTCTAGCTTTGATAACTTACCCACCTTCCTGTAATAGTGGCCCTGCCGTTTCCATTTTTTTCCCTGCCATCCTGTAATTTCACCTGCTCCCTTTCCTTCCTCTGAATTTTCCTTTCCATGAACTCTTCCCCACCTTCAGAGACTCAGAACTCTGAGGACAAAGAAGACCACCCTACTGTCCCGGTATCCTCTGACCGAGGAGCCTGCTCTGCACCTGAGCAAGTCTGTGGTCAAGGCTTGCGGCTGAAAAGCTGCCCTTTCACCTCCCAGGCTGGGGACAGCTCTGCGCTGGCTGAACTGTCTGTTTCCTGGCTACTTCTCACCTCTTGGGCCCCATCCCGGAATGGGAGGTTTGGGGAGAGTTAGCCACAGTTTTTTCTTCTCACACAGAGGAAGAATTCTGACTAGCCAGCTGGTTTCTGAATAGTTCATTATGTCTTCAGGCATGATTAGTTTTTAGGGTGTGCTTGGTTCTTGATGGGGATGAACACCAAGGAAACGTTGGTCTGAGAGGAGGAGAGGGCAGCCCAGCTGATTCAGAGTGATGTGTGGGAGTGCCCAGAGAGAAGATCAGGGGGTTCCGAGGGAGGGAAGAACTCACCCAAGGGTTAGGCTCCTTTGCACATCACGGAAACCCATGATCTTGGGGTTCTTTCAAGATAAATATTAGCCAATGATACCATTAAAAAATCATGGAATTGGATGTACTTGGAAGTGTCGAGGTTGGGAAGACCGTTACCAGATGTGTGTGGATTTCCTGTTTTTTTTTTGGGTGCTTGGATAGGATATCCCTGGAGTCTAGCCCACAGCAGAGTGGAGGGCAGGGGCAGAAAGCAACCTCAAGCTGTGTGATGGTCAACAGAACATGACAGAGTGACTTTCCCTGGGCCAGCCTGGTCTACATAAAAAGTTCCAGGCCAGCCAGAGCTTCGCAATGGGACACTGTCTCAACAACCAAAGAAAAAGTCCCCTGAGAATAGAACAAGGTAGAAAGATGCCTCAGCAGGCCAGGGCACTTCCTGTCATTCAAGTCTGGTGACCTGCGTTGAGTCTCTAGAACCCACGTAAAAGGGGAAGGAAGAGAACTGCCAGCGGTCTGTGTGTCTGCTCCGTCATAGTCTCCCCACACTCTTACACACAAAATAAATAATACACCCCGAAGTCTGCTTCAAACAACAAGCAAAAACCATAAACAAGTTATGCAATATAACGAGGATTAACAGCAGCTGGGCTATATTTGGCTTAGAACTTTCTAAAAAGTTCAAGTCAGAAATTGTTATTACATGGTAGGAACAAGAAACATTTTCAAATAGGGTGCAGTGGTGCACGTCTTTAATTCCAGCATTTGGGAGGCAGAGGCAGGCGAATCCTCTCTGAGTTTGGGGCCAGCCTGGTCTACATATCCAGGACAGCTAGGACCACATGGAGAGATCCTGTCTTGAAAAGGAAGAAGAGGAAGAGGAAGAAGAAAGAAGAGGAGGAGGAGCAAAGAAAAAAAAAGAGAAACATTTGAAACGTTTTCAGGGTTGTAAATCACAGCTACTTGGAAGACTGAAGCAGGTGGATCACAGCTTCTAGACTACATAGCAACATGCTGTCTAAAAAAAAGAGAAGACACCTTTCCAGATGTTATACTCTAAGTGTTCGGGGAGTTGAGAGCCGAGGTTCCAAAGGTTCTCTGTTTCTGAATGACCTGAAGGGGAAAGAAAGGTGCTCATTCTACCTGACAATTGATTTCTCAGTGAGAGGATGCTGCTGAATGCACCGTGCAGGCCTGGCTCAGTGCTCAGGTGAATGAGAGGAGAGGTCCCTACCCTGGGTGGACCTTAGAAGGAGGACTCAAATGCCTGGATGTCAGCATTCCTAGGCACCTTCAGTCTGGAAGTCTTACTTGATTCAAAACACTTCCTGGATTCAAACTTTGTCGTGGAATTCAAGTGCGGAATAATGCTTACAGAAGAGATGATTCATGGAACATGGACCCTTCTCCCTGTACTTTGGTTATGCCCTCTTTCTGCATTCCTGCATACTCTGTACCTGCTAGAGAGTCACGAGCAGGTGAATATGGCTCTTGGGCCAACTCCTTGAAGTCTAGAGAAAGGCAAACTTGGAATGATCTGCCTTTCTCCGAGGTTCCTTCTGCTTCTGTTGGCTTTCCCCTTCACGGTCCCCTACTGCTGCTCACAAAGAAAGGGTGTGTGTCCAGGGAGGGGAGGAGGGCTGGGCACAGCTTGCGCACCACACAACCTGGCTATGTGGTTGAGCTTCACGCCTGGGAACGCACTGTCTTTGCTGGCCCATGAAAGGGTTTGGCACCGAGGTTTGCTTCCTGTGCCCAGGAAGGAGTGGACTGTAAACCCTGAGGATTGTTGGTGAGTTTGGGGTAGACATAATAAGACCACAGATACGGCTAAGAGGGACTCTATCACAAGGGAACCAAGAGTTCTGGTTTTTTCAGGAGTCAGTCTGTTTGTGGCTCAGCAGTGCTATACAGCTGCCAACCTTGTTTTCACTTCGGCACATGGTGCCCATAGGAGCAGAGGAGCCAAAGCTGACTTGCTAGCGCCTCCCTATTCATTTGGTAGTCCACAGAGTGGACGTAAGAGCCAAGGCCCCCAGCATTGTTCTTCATCTACTGTGGCCTGTGCACACAAATGCTGTGTGTTGCTTCTGACCCCGAGCTCTAGGATACAGTTCCATGCCTCCGGGACCTCTGAATCCTTGAGGGTTGGCTGGCTTTTCCCTCTTTGGCATGACTGTGAGAGGGCTCCACACAATGTATCTACATGTGTGTCTCTCCCACATACCAGCTTCCCTGGAGATAAAAATGGAGGGTGAAGCCAGCTCCCCACCATCCCTCAGTGAGGATCTGATGGGATATGTAGGATGGAGGTGGGGTGTGCTCAGGGGCCTGGTCTATTGTCAGCCTCTGGCCTATTGTAATGGCCCTGGGTCAAGATTGCATTCAGCCCCTTAGCACCCACCCCGACCTGGTTAGGAAGCCCAGGTACTGTTGAGTAAAGACTTGCTCAGGTATACCCAGGAGCTTTGGCCACAGGATGACTGACAAACATGCTAAGGTTTACACTTGGACAAGGCAAGGCCAGAGTATATTTTGTAGGAAGGGCTTCTCTAAGTGGCTTTTTGCTTTTTCTAGGAGCACCTTCTGCTCCATCATTGCTCAGCTCACAGAAGAGACCCAGCCACTGTTTGAGACCACACTCAAGTCCCGGGCTGTGTCCGAAGACAGTGACGTCAGGTTCACCTGCATTGTCACAGGTAATGAAGCTAATGGTACAGCCTGTACCAGGGTTTCTCACAGAGCAGGGTCCCAGGAAGATTGAATGGGTATGGAGGGTGGTAGGTTTATGTGCACCAAACTGAGTGAGTTGATATTAGCTCCCCCCACTGCCTGCCCCCTCCCCCGTGCCCTCAATTAAACCCTGTGTGTGGGTTGGTGTGTGTGTGGTGTGGGTTTCCGATGTGTCTGAGAATGCGGCTCAGTTGGTCAGTTGGTAGAATACTCACTAGCACACATGAAGCTCACTAGCAGATGTGAAGCCCAGGGTTTTACCGTCGGGACCACATGAATCTGGCACAGGAGTCTTTTTCTGTAATCTCAGCACTTGGGAGGACAAGAAGATCAGAAGTTTAGGTCATTCTCAACTACATAATGAGTTTGAGGCCAGGGTAGGCTACAGGAGACCCTGTGTCAAAAGACAGAAAACGAAGACAATAACTCCCTAACTGTGCTCAGCAAAGTTCCTTCCCCTGCAAGTATACTCACAGTATTGATGAGTGCTCTTTGACGTCATCTATTGAACATCTTCCCTCCTAATAGTTGAGCCATCTAGCCTGAGAGACAGTAAATCATACTTATTCCAACCATAGCCCCTGGAGGCAAACTGCCTGGCTTGGATTCCTGACTCAACCTCCTTCCTAGTATAGGGTGCTAAGCAGGTTACTGTGAGCGTCATGTATTATGAGCCCAAGTGACCTAATAGCTAGCCATTGGAATAGCACCTGGTACACAGTACACACAAGTGTTCGGAATCAAGACTCTTCACTTTCCACTGAGTTCCCTATTGGGTTTTCAGTAAGACGCCCAGTGGTACACCTTAGAAATCATGATCAGGAGTGCTGGGACACTGGTCCAGACATTGTTCTTTTCCCATAGCTTCCAGTACAACTTCATTCTACACTGACCTTACCAGTCTCAGGGCCTACAGGATATTTAGAGTCAGCTGCACTCACCATTTCAAAGGGCCCAGACTCACATACCTCTAAGACCCACCCCCTTTTTTTCCTTCAGTTTGTCAAGGGCATGGGTAGTTTCCGGCTGTCACATTCTCCGATCCTGGGTGGACTTATTTAGCCCAGCCAGCTAAAAAGCTTCCTTGGGATTGGTTTTTTTTCGAGGTAGTTGTCCCAATTACCAGGACTGTCCATCACATCTGCTAGAGGGACACCGACTCCCTGTATTCTTTATCTTTGTGGTGTGTTGCAACTGAATTTTTCCAAACCCTGTGAAGTAAGTGCTATTGTTAGCCCAGCTTTGCAGAGGGCGAAACTAGAAGAGTCTAGGTGAGCCACCCAAGTCATGAGGAGCTAGTGGCTTTTGCCCCTAACTGAGTCCCTAGCACAGCAGCACTGGAAAACAACCTCACTCCACACTTTCTCATATGCTGCTTTATGTAAAAGGCTTTTAACCCTCCTTGAAGAAAACAGTCAGGGGCTGGGGACGCAGCCAGTTGATAGAGTGTTTGCATAGCATGCTGAGGCTGAGGTGGTGTCGCGCAGCAGCGCTGTATAAAGGTGCGGTGGCGCTTTCCTGTGACCCCAGCACTCTGCAGGTGGTGGCAGGAGGATCATGAGAGCCACATCACCCTCCGTTACACAACTGGTTTGAAGCCATCTTGGCATGCGTGAAAACTGTCTTAAAGAAAATTAAATTTTATCTTTACTAAATTAGTACATGCCCATAGTTCAAGGTTTCAAATTATACTAAAAGATGCTTATCAAAAATATAGCCATTTACCGGGCGTTGGTGGCTCACAACTTTAATCCCAGCACTAGGGAGGCAGAGGTGGGCGGATCTCTGTGAGTGTGAAGCCAGCCTTGTCTACAGAGCGAGTTCCAGGACAACCTCCAAAGCTATACAGAGAAACCCTGTCTCTCTCGAAAAACCAAAAACCAAAAACCAAAAACCAAAAAAAAAAAAAAACCCCAAAAAACCAAAACAAAAAACCAATCTGTCTTCCCAGAACCTGGGATTGTAGGTGTGAGCTCCCATGTCTGTTTGTTGTTGGTGGTGCTGCTTTTTAAGACAAGGTCTCATGATGTTTCTCCAGAACTCTCTATGTAGACCAGGCTGGCCTCGAACTCAGAGATCTGTCTGCCTCTGCCTCCCGTGTGCTGGAACTAAAGGCGTGCGCTACCACACCCCACAGTTTTTTGTTTGTTTGGCTTTGCTTTAGGACAGGGTCTTACTGTGTAGCCCAGGTTGGACTCACCTGGAGATCTTGCCCCAACCTCCTGAGTGCTGGGGTTACAGGTGTGCTTTCTGTTTTTAAAGCCATTTTAACTTTCACTCTTCCCTCTCTATCCCTGGTCCCAGTTTCCGTACCCTATGGGGTTTTCTAACTAGTCTCCATTTCGACCGCTTCTAAACTCAGGGCTTGGCTTTGTTGGATGTGCTGTTGTCACTTTCTACCTGCCTGTCTGCTTCCTGCTTGCAAAGATTTTGGCTCCCATTTCTCTTCTTGCCTGCTCTCCCCGTGTGTGTGTGTGTGTGTGTGTGTGTGTGTGTGTGTGTGTGTGTGTGTGTGTTTGAGCATACTTATCAAAGCACACGTGTGGAGGTCAGAGGGCAGCTTTCAGGAGTCAGTTCTGAATTGCAGGGATTGAGCTCAGGTCATTAGGCTCACATAGCAAGTGTTTTAATAACACTGAGCCCAAAGGAATAATTAAAAAACACATCTTAATTTAATGTGTGTGCACACAATAGTGCTGTGTGCTTGTGGGAGTTGGTTCTGTCTTTCCGCCATGTGGGTCCCAGGGATGGGACTCTGGGTATCAGACAGGGTCGGGAGCACCTTTATTGACAAATTTGTCTCATGGGCCTCAGAGGCAATTATTATTATTTTTTCATCCCTGCACCTCATGATGACCAGCCCAGGCCATGACCTTCAGCTGAGGAGCAGTTACCAACTGAGCTGGTACCGTTTCCAGGGCTCTGGGCGACTATAACATTCACATTTTCATTCACGGTTGTACTCCCCCCCTCATCCTCACATACACCCCAAATCTCAGCTCACTGTCTTCTGCAGCAGATTAGAAATGGTCACCTTGGTATCACTGTATGCAGAAACAAACAAAGAGAAAATGTAGGAAATGGGGGAGGGAGAGAAGGAGAGGGTGCCAAGAACTTGGGAGACCAGATTAGCTATTAGGCCTGCTCAGTTTGCAGGTGTTCCTGGCTGAGACTGGCCTCTGTGTGAGGCTGCTGCTGGCCTTGGCTTGTCTTAGTGGACCCAGGAGGACCACATCAGTTTTTCTTCCTTCTAGAAGCAGCCCCGAGCAAGGGTAAATAGGTCAGGGCCTGACTTCAGGACCTCACCGGGCACAGATGATGTTTTCTTCTGTTTGGACCCTTGTGCTGTTGAGGAAGACTCGCCTGTAGCAGGGGAGTAGGGAACTAACCGGCTGTTCTGGAAGGACACCCCTGCAGACCTAGAGGAGAGACGCGGGACTTCTAGGGTTCTTTTCACTCACAGTGGGGGAATAGGAGACAGTGGACCTGTGACTGAGCACTCTGACTCCTGGGTCCTGTCAGCCCCTCTCGGCTGGAAGGCTGCTGCCTCAGACTGCTCATTTCTGCCCAGTGTGCTGCCCCCCCACTGTCTTCAGCTATGGGGTACACTATGTTGGGGTGTGGATGTACACATATGTGCATCGTCACATGTTGACGTGGAAGAACCAAGGGACCTAATCTGTACTAAGAACCACACTTCTTTCTTTCTTTTTTAAATAATTTCTTTTTATTTCATGGTCATTGGTGTTTTACCTTCATGTATGTCTGTGGGAGGATGTTAGAAGCCCTGGAACTCAAGTGACAGAGAGGTGTGAGCTGCCATGTGGGTGCTGGGAATTGAACTGAGGTCTTCTGGAAGAGCAGACAGTGCTCTCAAGGCCAGACAGTGATGGCACAGGTCTTTAATCCCAGCACTCGGGAGGCTGAGGCAGGTAGATCTCTATGAGTTCAAGGTCAGCCTGGTTTACAAAACAAGTTCCAGGACAGTTAGGGCTACATAGAGAAACAAACAAACAAAAAACCCAAAAGACAACAACAACAAAAAACCAAAATGGGGAGGGGAGGATAAGTCTAACAAGATAGCTTGTATGCATTGGTTCCAGACTCCTCATCGGAAGGAATGCTAGAAAAGGAATGTTGGCTGTGTCGTGTGCCAGCCAAGTAACCTTGGGTAGTTTTCCTCGTGTGTGAAGTAGTGGTTACACATGTCACTTTATAGTGGAGAAGGGTCTGAATTGAGAACTCTGCTTACTCACTAGTTGCCTTTGGAGAAGTCTTAATTTCATGAGCCTTCATTTTCTTTTCCTTTTTTTCAAATGTTCTTTTAAGACAAGATTTCTCTGTGTAGCCCTGGCTGTCGTCCTGGATCTCTGTAGACCAGGCTGGCCTCGAACTCACAGAGATTTGCCTGCCTCTGCCTCCCGAGTGCTGGGATTAAAGGGGTTCGTCATCAGGGCTAGGCTCATTTTTTTTAACATTGGAAGGAAGTTTTATTGGGGGAATGGGAAGGGAGTGGGGGAAGGGAAAAGAGAGGAGAGAGAAGAGAGAGACTGACCTCGTTTTCCTTTTAAAAAACTACTTTAAAATTGTGTGTGTGTGTGTGTGTGTGTGTGTGTGTGTGTGAGAGAGAGAGAGAGAGAGAGAGAGAGAGAGAATATATGTATATCATGTGTGCACCAGTGTCCAAGTGGCCCAAAGAGGGTGTCAGATCCCCTGGAACTGGGTTACAGGTGGTTGTGAGTTGCCAGGTGGGTTCTGGGAACTGAACTCCAGTCCTCTGCAAGAGTAGCAAGTGCTGTACACCACCCACCCCTCGGGCCCTCATTTCCTTTTTATATTGAGGATTGGTGATTGTGTTCTCCTTAGGACCAGAATAAGGATTAGATGAGATACACATGAGAAGTGCTTCTTTCAGTCCATCTTGCGGCACACAGTACATCTTCTTCAATAAATGAACAATTTCTGCTCAGCGGAGCCAAGTGAAATTCCATGTCTGAGTTCTCTTAAAACTCAGAGCTCCCATCTCTCCAAATCTGAGTTTCTCCAAACTGGAGTGTTTGGGATGAAGCTGTAGATGTCCAAGTTGGGTTCCTAGGCAAGGGGCTAGCGTGAAACAGGCCACAGGCTGTGAAGAGCCAGGGAAGGCCGCTGGCTCAGGTTCTGTTTTGCGTTCTCCTGGCCAGAGGTCTGTCTCTCCGTGAGCATGCCTGCCTGCCTGCCTAGGAAGTGTGTGTGCAGCTGAGAGAGGGACCTAGCCCGCTCTGGCTTTTGTGTGTTTACACACTATAGCTCACATTATCCAGGGGATAACCAGTATGCTCCCACATACATTTGTTTTCAAAGCCATTCCTGCTAGGAAGCCCTCACTGGTCAGCTTGATCCCCACTGTGGGCAGATCACAAGAAGTCCGTGTGGGGCGTGAGGCTGCAGCTGTGAAGGCCATTGGACGGTCTCCTCTTTGCCCGTGCCCTTGCCCTCCTCCAGCCTCCCTGGACTGGAGGCTGAGGATGTCCTGGGCAGGTCATGAGCAGAAGCCTCTAGAGCCCCGGTGGGTGAGATCATCTCACAAGATGGTGAGAGCACCTGCGCTGGCCCCGACCACATGTGCGGTGATGTAACCCGGGCTTTAGCACACAGTGGAAACACAGGGCTCGGTTTTCAGCCGGCACAGCCGAGCTAGCTGCAGCCCTGCCTCCCTTGCTCCCTGCTGCTGGGCACTGTTCCCTAGCTTGCCCTTTGCGGGGCTCACAGGCCACACTGCGGTGCCTGCCTGCGTCAGGCCTGCCCTGCCCACCGTCCTTTCGTTCATGCTCTTTCTTTACTGCTCCTCTCACTTACTAAGTAACTACTACAGGCACTGTCTCAGGTGGAGGAGACACCACGGTGAACAAATGGTCACTCCTGCCCACTTGGGTCTAGAGTCTAGCAGGAGAGATGGCCAAGGAGCTAGGCTCTTACGGCACCATGATTAGCGGGAGGAAGAGGAGGTATGCATTGGAGTCTTCTGAAATTCTGCTTAGTCTTTGGGTCTAGATCAAGTGTCACTCACTCCAAGACTCTCTACCAGATCCGCAGCCAAGTTGCTTGTTCCCTTCTCTGGGCCCTAGGCTCTTCATACACTGTTGATGTATGATCTATAAATATTTACTCACTGTGGATTGCATGCCAGGCACTGCTCTAGGAACTGGGGACATAGCAGTGAGGCTCACTGATAAGTCCCCACTGTCTGAAGCTGGCATTCGTGATGGACAGGACACGCACCAGCTAACAAGCTCAGTGTGTCATGTGTCAGTGTGCTCTAGGAAGAAACAATCATAAAAAGGAAGTGCTGACATCCTAGAGCCTTCATCCAGTGGCTGATGGAAGCAGAGGCAGACACCCACAGCTCAACACTGAACTGAACTCCTGGAACCCAGTTGCAGAGAGGGAGGAGTGATGAGCAAAGGGGTCAAGACCGTGCTGGTGAAACCCACAGAAACAGCTGACCTGACAAGGGAGAGTCTTGGACCCCAGACTGATAGCTGAGAGGCCAGCATGGGACTGATCCAGACTCCATGAATGTGGGTGTCAGTGAGGAGGCCTCGGCAATCTCTGGGGCCTTGGGTAGTAGATCAGTGTTTACTGTGGTGTACGAATGAACTTTGGGAGCCCATTCCACAATGGCGGATGCTCTCTCAGCCTGGACACATAGGGGAGGGCCTAGGCCCTGCCCCAGATGAATTGACAGACTCTGGAGATCCCCCATGGAGGGCCTCACCCTCCCTAGGAAATGATGTGGGGATTGGGTGGGGGGCTGGGGGAGCTGGTGGAGGGGCAAGGGAGGAGGGATGGGAGAGGGCGCTGGGATTGACATATGAAGCAACATGTTTCTAATTTAAATAAAAATATATTAAAGAAAAAGGAAGTGCTGAGGGGAGAGAGCTGCAGGCTTGCCTGGGTGTTGGGTTAACTGGGAGGCGGATCTCCACAGGAACTGAGGTGCAGCCTCCTGTGCTGTGAGAGTGAGCCGGCAGGATGCAGAGGGGAGAGAAGAGAGATGAGGGCAGTATAGAGTGCAGACGGTGTGGGCCCCCCGCGTGACGCAGGAGCCCCTGGGGTCCTTGCTGCTCCTTGACCAGCTACAGGCAGTCTAGGAAGTGAGCCATGTGCCAGTCACAGGGGACCCTGATGGACAGCTCTGGTGTAGCAAAGGGGACAGGGGCAGGGCTGGAAGATGGGGAGAAAGAACTCTATAAAAAATGCCCGCAGGCTGTGTGTGGTGGCGCACACCTTTATCCCAGCACTCAGAGGCAGAGGCAGGCGGATCTCTGTGAGCTCAAGGCCAGCCAGGACAGCAAGGGCTACAGAGAAAGACCCTACAGAGAAAGTCTCAAAACAAAACAAACAAAATCCTCCAAAGCCAACAACAACAAAATAAAAATGAGTATGTGAATGAATAGAAGATCTCTCATCTTTGTTCTTTTTCTCTTGAGACAGGGTGGCGTCTCATTTCTGTAGCCAAGGCTAGCCTGAAACTACAGGTGTGAACCAGCACACAGGTTTGCAGGCAGGATTTGAAGTATGCTGACCTCCCTCCAATTCCCGTTAGTGTAGTTCCCTATCTCTCATTGTCACCAAGCATCGTCCACTTCTTCAGCACAGAGCCATCTCGTATGGCCCAGTCAGGAAAGCGCTCGCCCTCCAGCATGGAGACCTGAGTCTGATTCCCAGCACCCATGTAAGAGCCTGGAGGTGCTGGCTTACACCTAGGTCCCCAGCAGTAGGGAGGCAGAGACAGCAGGATCTCAGAGGAGCCCCTAAAAAAATAAGCTGGAAAGGTTTGGATACCAGTGTGTAAGTGGAAAGCAACAGAGGAAGAAACAGTGTTGACCTCTGGCCTCCACACGCATGCACACACATCCCACACACATGAACATTCATACACCACAGACACTACAATTAAAAATAAAATTACATTTTTTCTTTAAATTCATTAATTTTTATTTTACATGCATTGGTGCTTTGGCCATGGGTGTCAAATCCCCTGGAGCTAGAGTTATAGACAGCTGTGAGCTGCCACATGGGTGCTGGGAATTGAACCTGGGTCCTCTGGAAGAGCAGTCAGTGCTCTTAATCATTGAGCCATCTCTCCAGCCCCAAAAGTTACATCTCTAGACACAGTATTTGGATTAGATTAGTTGCCTCCAGGGAAGCAAGAGGCACGTGACTGTGTAGTTAGGCGCTCTGCCACATGGGTACCCTGGGAGTCCCTAGGAAGGACTGGTATGTTCTTCCCCCCCCCCCCATTGGTTTTTTGAGACAAGGTTTCTCTGTGTAACAGCTCTGGCTGCCCTAGAACTCATTCTGTAGACCAGGATGGCTTGGACCTCACAGAGATCCGCCTGCCTCTTCCTCCAAAGTGCTGGAAGGAAAGATGTGCACCACCACTGTCTGGTGACTGGTATATTCTTTAGTTACTCTCAGTACAGTGACTGTGTGTGTGTGTGTGTGTGTGTGTGTGTGTGTGTGTGTGTGTGTAGACAGGTGGATCAAAAGTGAGTGGGTGGATGGGTGGGTGTTTTAGTTGTGTTGTCAAAGGATGCATCTTAGGAACTTGGAATGAAAGGAGGGGTCCGAGCAGTGATGAGGTTTGGAGAGGAGGCCTATGAAGTAGAATCCTTTCTATACGTGAGGATATTGTATGGGCCATGATAGAAAGGAAGCATGTTATTCCCAGTTATCAGTCGCTGGAAACCCCTCACCCCTTCCTACTAGAAAGTCCCCCTGGTCTTTTCCTTCTGCCCGGAGGGGAGATGCTTTCTGCTTTGACACATGCTACATTCTGAAAGCGAGCTGAGCACCTGGGGTGGAGCTTCCAGAGGGCCTGGGGCACTGGTACTGTGTAGCCTCTTCTGGCAGTGCAGGAAGCCCTCACCGCTCTGATTCTCCCTCTATTTTGGATCCCATCATAACAATATTCTATCTCTTGCTTCCTTACTCAGGATACCCAGAGCCAGAGGTGACCTGGTACAAGGATGATATAGAACTGGACCGTTACTGCGGCTTGCCAAAATACGAGATCACTCACCAAGGCAACCGTCACACCCTGCAACTGTACAGGTGAGGGAGAGGGGCCTGCATGGCTCTCTGCCCTCCTGAGGGCCCTCGGTCCGATCCTGCCACCAGACACGGAGTCGGCCGGGTGGAATGCCCAGGCACTCTCTGCAGCTAGAGGGCAGGGTTCTGCGGCTGAGTTGATCTACCTGGTGAACTGAGCTGTCTGCCAGTGTCCGGGATCTCCCAAGGCCAGGGTAGGCGTGCTTCTCACAGCCACGAGTCAGTGCAAATAAAGGAGGTCCTGACCGGCAGAAACCTTTTCCATGAGGTCAGCAGCCAGAAAAAGCAACAGTGTCATCATTACTGCTCTCGGGGGCTGTGTTGGTCACCTGCTTCTGAATGGAGCTCTTCTGGGCCCCAAGTCTAATCCGTCCTGGGACAGCATGACCGTGGTCAGCTGCCACCCTCTTGTGGCCTCAGTTTCCTCCGTTGTAACTGAGGAAATTCATGATGCCTCAGGTAGGGCAGGACTTGGATTGGGAGGGAGCACGTGGTCAATGCCAGAGGCTCTGGCTGTGGGGAGGAGGGCTCTCGCCTCCCAGGAGGGAGAGATGGCGCCTCATGCTCCTGCCTCTAGGTGCCGGGAAGAAGATGCTGCCATCTACCAGGCCTCTGCCCGCAACACCAAGGGCATCGTGTCCTGTTCAGGGGTCCTAGAGGTGGGCACTATGACCGAGTACAAGATTCACCAGCGCTGGTTCGCCAAGCTGAAGCGCAAGGCGGCAGCCAAGATGCGGGAGATCGAGCAGAGCTGGAAGCATGGGAAGGAGGCTTCAGAGACCGACACCCTTCGCAAGATCAGCCCTGACCGCTTCCAAAGAAAGCGCCGACTGAGTGGGGCCGAGGTGGCAGTCCCCTCAGCCCCCGTCAGGGAAATGGAGGAAGGGTCCTCGGCAGCTTGGCCGGAAGGAGAGACTGAGTCCGCACAGCACCCAGGTTTGGGTTTGATCAACAGTTTTGCTCCTGGAGAGGCACCCACCAATGGGGAACCTGCCCCAGAGAATGGGGAAGATGGAGAGCGTGGCTTGCTGACCTACATCTGTGAGGTCATGGAGCTGGAACCTCAGAGTACCCCTCCAAAGGAGTCTGGGGCTAAGAAGAAAAGGAAAGATGAGTCTAAACCGGGAACACAGAAGCCAGAGTTAGAAAAGGCAGATGGAAGCCAGTGCTCTTCAGAAAATGGAATCCCCAGTACAGACAAACCCAATTCCAGTAGAAGAGAGAAACCCACCGATCCGCAAGCAGCTCAGACCCAGCCCAGAGGCAGGGTAGCACGGGGGACTGTGCCTTCTGGAATAGAAAGCACTAGGAAGTCAGCCTCTGTGGGCGCTCAAGACAAGGTCCAGGCTGCTTCTGCCCCAGCCCCGGGCTCTGCCCCAGCCCCAGGCCCTGCCCCAGCCCCGGCCTCCAGCCCAGCCCCTACCCCAAGCCTCAGTTCAGAGCAGGTATACTTCTCCCTGAAGGACATGTACATGGAGAATACCCAGGCAGGCAGGTCCCAAGGAGAGGAGAGGCTTCCACTCCCAAGAACCAGGGTTTCTGGAGAAAGTCCCTCGGGGTCTGGAGAAAGTCCCTCGGGGAAGGTACCAGTCAAGGCTAGAGGTGAGAAGGTCCCTATGGCCTCTGGCCAGCCCACGCCTTCTATGGTCCCCCCACCCATTAAGCCTTTGAATAGGAAAAGATTTGCTCCCCCTAAACCCAAGGGGGAGCCCACTACCACTTCTTCCTCAAGTCAGGCTCCAGATGCTGTGGCCCAGAGCTTAGGGAAGACCCTACCTCCAGCCTCTGCCCAGGTCCCAACACCCCCTGCCCGACGGAGACACAGCACCCGAGATAGCCCCTTGCAAGGTCGAACAAGCTACAAGACTCCAGGAGAGGTAAGTGTGGGTACTGAGTGTGTGGAGGCTGCTCTGGGAAACTGACCTCATGGAAACTCTTGCTGTAACAGCTTGGCAGTCAGTGGGTGGTGGGCTATTTATAGAAGGGGGTGGGGAAGGACTGGAGTGCCAGCCAGGAGCAAGGGGGCACAGGCATGGCCCTTGCTTGACCATACGCCGATATGAGCATGCAGACAGCATAGCCAGACTATGTCTCTCTTTGTCTGAGAGAGTATGGAAGCGCCCGGCTGAGGGAAGAGGAGGAAGATAACTGTTCTCTGGGGAGCAGAGGGATCAGTGCAGAGTGTTTTGTAGCCACGCTGAAGCTACAATGCTATATGAAGGAGGGGAGTGATCCTAGCGTGTAGCAGGACGTGTGATGCTCACCAGAAGACTTAAAAAGAGCACTTGGGAGGCTTAGGCAGGAAGATTGTGAGGGGCTAGCCTGGGATGCATAGCAAGACCTTGTTTCAAAACAAAACAAAGTCACTCCCAGCTTCCCTAAAACTGAATGTCTAAAAAGTATTGGTTCATTCTGGTTTTACTTAAGTTTTGGGATATGACTGGCAACCCTTGGCAAGGTGTGATCCGGGGCAAGTAGTAGTCAAAATAGTAATTCATAGCCATTGCAAGAACTGGGTGCTTGGAGGCGTGGCGTATGTAAACATAGCATGTACCATGGTGGGAGACTGGGGAAAGCTGGGAACAGGAGTCACTCATTGCTAGGGAACGAGTAGCCAAGAGGAGTTTGTGTGGAGGAGGGACAGGGGTGTCCACCTGCCACAGGTAGACAGATGGGATTTGGTGATGTGGAGCTTGAGGAGCGGGGTCCATGGCTGAAAGGTGGCCAGGGTTTCATGCTCTGGAGGCAGAGGGACGGAAGAGTTCCCTAGGACTAACATGTTCCACCCCTGGGCTGAAACGGGAAGGCCAGTGTGTGTGTGTGTGTGTGTGTGTGTGTGTGTGTGTGTGTGTGTGTGTGTGTGTGTGTGTGGTGACAAAATAGATGGGGCGCATTTATACTAACAATGCATTACTGTTTATCAGAAATTCCCATTTTATTATGCTCCGTATTTGTCTTTGCTAAATGTAAGTGGAGATAGCTTGTGATTTGGGCAGGAACTACACCGAGACTTTCTCAGGGCAGAGGAAGCCAGAGTCCTGGCTCCCATGTGCTGAGGCTTTCCATGGGAAGGCAGTGTTTCTCAGGCATGCGGGAAGGACAGATGTTTTTTTTTTGGAACAGTGAAGGGAAATACATGTAGGACAATTGATTCAGCAACTTAGGGCAAGGTGGGGAGGAGGGCTTCCCCGTGGAGAAAGAGCATTCACCAGGGAATAGGGGAAGAGGGGCTCAGTGGTGACTGGGCTGTGGTCTTATTTCAGTGGGTGCTAAGGTCAGGCCATGTGGGAAGAGTAGATCAGAGATGGGGCTTTGGAGTGGGGCAAATCTCAAAGACCATGCTCCACATCTGTTCACCACTTTTGTCTGTCTTGTTCGAAGTTCCTGGTGTCAGTCCCTCAGTGGCTTCAGGCAAGCTCAGTGGGGCTACTCTGTGTCTCTGACAGCCACAGAGTGCACAACAGCCTTCTAGAGAAGTAGCCCTTGGAGGCCCCAAGGGAGCTAGTTTAGGAAGTGGCCAGGCTAGCTGCCAGGTGTGTGTGTGTGAACCTGGCTTCTGCCTACAGGGGTGGGAGTCCCACACCCAGGAGGCTGAATCCTCCTGGCAGGAGGGGAAGAAAGGCCAGCTCACCCCTCCCTTGGGTGGGGATGGAACAGACTGAGGGGGCACCTCAAAGTTGTCTATGTTGGTTCTACTTCTGCCAGAACCATGTCTGGTTTTTTATTTTATGTATGTATTTTGTATGTTCGTGTATGTGTGTGTGTGTGTGTGTGTGTGTGCGTGTGTGTGTGTGTGTGTGTATGGGTTTGAGTGTGTGTGGAGGAGAGAAGGGATTGGTTCTATTCTTCCAGAGGACCCAGGTTCAGTTCCCAGCTCACACACAGTGGTTCACAACCACTGCAAACCAGTTCCAGGGGCCCCTCAGGTTAAACAGTCATACATTTAATTTTATTTTTAATTTTTAAAGAGAGGGTGGAGAGGCATGCCCAGGTCTCAAAGCGCCAGCTGCAGTCTCTCATTCCTGTGATGTGTCCTGTGGAGGTCTAGGCACATGGAAGAAGTGGTTAAAATGTTCTTGCTATGGCTCTGAAGATCTAATCATGTGGAAATTTTAAAAAGTTTTATTTATTTCATGTATGAGTGCTCTATCTCTGCATGTACAACTTTATGCCAGAAGAGGGCATCAGATCCAGTTATAGATGGTTGTGAGCCACCATGTGGTTGCTGGGAATTGGACTCAAGACCTTTGGAAAAGCAGTCAGTGCTGTTAACCACTGAGCCATCTCTCCAGCCCTAATCATGTGGAAGTTTATTAAACCATGGAAAAATTCTCAGGAAATAATGAGAAGCTTTTAAAAAGAGACAATAATAGAAAACTAAATTAGGGGCAGAGCTGATAAAAGGGCCTGTGGTGCAAGTTTGGTGAGCTGAGTTCAATCCCTGGTTCCCACAGCAGGAGAGAACCAGCTCCTGAAGCTGTCCCCTCAATGGATGACTTTTCCTTGGTCACCCTCATCCTTTCTCTGCATCTGCAAGTCATCTCGTGCCTCTGTCACCTTTGTAATCATGGTGACAACTCTAGAGTAGGTTCAGTGTCTACTGGAAGGTCTCCATCGTGTACTGGAAGACCCTGGGATAGGTTCAGTGTCTACTGGAAGGTCTCCATCGCGTCCTGGAAGACCCTGGGGACTGCAGTTCTTCTTCCGCTGTGTGGGACCCAGAGACGCAGCATTGGATTCCCTGGAGCTAGAGTTATGGACAGTTGTGAGCCACCATGTGGATTCTGGGACTCAAACCCAGGTTTTCTGTAAGAGCAGGCAGCAAGTTTTCTAGGTGTGGTGTCTCATACCTTTGATCCCAGTACTTGGGAATCAGAGGCAGGTGGACCTCTGTGAGTGGGAGGCCAGACAGAAACCCTGTCTCAAAAAACAAAAGCAGTATTTTTAATCGCTGATCCATTTCTCCAGCTCCTTATTTCTGCTTGTTATTATTATTATTATTATTGTGTGTGTGTATGTGTGTGTGTGTGTGTATGTGTGTATCTGTGTGTAGGGTAGTTCATACCACAGTGTGTGTGGAGGACAGGAGACAACTTCAGGAGTTGGTTTTCTCCTTCTGCTATGGGAACCAGGGATTGAACTTGAAGCTAGCCTGGTCTACATACTGAGTTCAAGGACATCTTGGGCTACATGAGACTACGATTTAAAAAGAAAAGCAAGCAAGTAGAGGACATCTGCCAACACCCTCTTCAGCATCACCGTCTTCCAGTTGTTGAGGGGAAAAGAGGAGTAAGAAGAAAATAGCTTAAGGCTCACCATGACCTCCAAGGATACACAGTTTTGCAAGAAGTTGGCCACTACCAGGGACTTCTCTTTTTCTTTCTTTTTTAATTCGAGAAAGAGGACTTTTTGCTGGGAAAAATACTAGTCAAAACAATTCCAACAGGTTTCCCCCCAAAAAAAGACTGAAAGAAGAGGAGAAGTGTCTAAAGTACACTCCAGGGAGCAAGGAATTCCTCTTGTGTGATGATAAAGATGATGGTGTGTGTAATCAGGCCAGAGAGGATAAAGTTGGGGCATTGTTCATCACAGTAGAAGGCGCCTTGATAAGAAACAAACAAACAAACAAACAACCAGATAGCAGTCCAAAGTGCACTCATGACAAATACCAGGGAGATGGGATTGCTGAAGATGAAGAGACCATGGGAAATAATGAAAAAGACAAAGACGCACAAAGGAGACGGAATTGCGGAAGAGGGGTCTGGAGAGATGATCACTGGCTCTGCAGTCTCTGAGGATTTACAAAGTGGGTGAGAGAGGATGGCAGTAAAGCCAGCTAGGGCTATTTGTAATAGAAAAGTTTATATGATACCACGTAGGTTCCCTCTGTATAACAAAAAATAATTAAATTTATTTTACGTATGTGTTTTGCACCATGTGTGTGCCCAGCAACCACAGAGTCAAAAGAGGGCATGAGAGCCCTTGTAACTGGAATTACACATGTGAACCACCATGTGGCTCTTGGGAACCGGATCCAGGTCCTCTGCAAGAAGAACAAGTGCTCTTTACCACTGAGCCGTCTCTCCAGCCCCAGCTTGCATATTTGTCTAAAGAGATATGTTGATGGGAATGGGGAACTAGCTCAGTTGCTAAATTGCTTGCCACACAAATACGAGTACCCGAGTTCAATCTTAAAAAGCTGGAAATAGTGACATATGCTTGTAATCTCAGCACTGGGGAAGCAGAGACAGGAAGATCCCTGGGGTACACTGGTCAGTCAGCCTAGCTGAACTGGTGACTCTCAGGTTCAAGTAAAAGATCCTGTCTCAAAAATCAAGGGGAAAGCTCCTAAAGGACCATACCCAAAGTTGACTTCTGGCCTGTACATACATGTGAATGCGTGTCCCCGCACATGTACTTGCGTGCATACCCACGCACAACATACACAAAAATATGCTGTTTGTGCACACACCTAAACACATTTTGTTGTTCGGAGGGCTCAGCCCTTGTAGACATGTAGAGAAGTATTCATACATCTGCGATATAATTACTGGTCTCTAACTCTGACCTAGGCTTGTGCTGGACCCTTGTCAGAGAGAAGGGGTTCACAGATTAGCAGATGGATACACACACATGATAAATAATTGCCATAAAGAATGATGGTGTGATGATGAAGTTAAGTGTGTTTGCTGTGTGCATAGGGACGGAGCCACTTATATTTTAGAGGGTTGGGAGAAATTACAAAGTCTTCAGAGGTGAGAGGAACCTTGACTAAGATCTTCAAGGATGAGGGCAGTTTTTAGGTAGACAAAGAACAGGGTCAGTATGTCTGACAGAGGAGAAACAATGTAGTTACCGTCATTAGTAAGTAATCTTTGTATAGTTAAGTCTCTCTCTCTCTCTCTCTCTCTCTCTCTCTCTCTCTCTCTCTCTCTCTCTCTCTCTCTCTCTCTCTCTCTCACACACACACACACACACACGTTCCTAGTGTGTCTAGGTGACCTGGAACTTACTATATAGAGACCTGCCTGCCTCTGCTTCTGTCTAGGACTAAAGGCTGGGCCACCATGCCTGGTTGTTTGGTTTTGAATCAGGGTCACAAGTATCCCAGGTTAAACTGGGTTTGTAGCTGAGGATAGTTTGAACTTCTGCTCCTCTTGCCTCCAACTCCTGAGGAGTCACTCCTGGTTTATACAGGGCTGGGGATGGGACCAGGGCCTTGGGCATGCTCGGTGAGCACTTTACCACTTTCCCTGAGTCTCCAGCCTGGCTCCTGGGTTGCTTTTATTAGTGATGCCACCTGCCACCTTCTGCTTCTGTTTTTGTGGAGCTGGGCATCTGTGCCGTGTAGGCATGTCTCACTGATGTTCTGATCATCCACTCAAATTCCACTGGCTTTAGTCTTCATTCCAGGATTCCATGATTCCATAAGAGAAATACATGTAGTGCTTTCCACTGTATCCTTATGACTTTTTGGTTTTGCTCTGTTTTTCGAGACAGGGTTTCCCTGTAGCTCTGGCTGTCCTAGAACTTGCTCTGTAGACCCTGCTGGCCTGAAACTCACAGAGATCCTCCTGCCTCTGTCTCTTGAGTGTTGGTGTTGAAGGCGTGAGTCACCACCACCTGGCCTTTGTGACTTTCTTTCTCAATCATCTTTTGGTTGACTGAATTTTGTTCTTTAGGTGCTTCATCAAGTCACGACCAGAGGAATGACACATAAGCCCCATGTGTTCAAAATAAGCTTCTTTGCCCAATAATCTCCCTTCCTTCCTTCCTTCCTTCCTTCCTTCCTTCCTTCCTTCCTTCCTTCCTTCCTCCCTCCCTCCCTCCCTCCCTCCCTCCCTCCCTCCCTCCCTTCTTTTTTTTTTTTTTCAAGACAGGGTTTCTCTGTGTAGCTCTAGCTGTCCTGGAACTCACTCTAGACCAGGCTGGACTTGAACTTTAAAGAGATCTGCCTACCTCTGCCTCCCAAGTGCTGGGATTAAAGGCATGCACCATTACACCTGGCCTTACATTTTATTTTACTTCATTATACCACCCCCCCCGTGTGTGTGTGTGTGTGTGTGTGTGTGTGTGTGTGTGTGTGTGTGTGTGTGTGTAGGTCGGAGGGGTCATTCTTGTTTTCAGCACCAGTGTGTATTTCAGGCTTGCTGGCCCACGAGCTCAGGCTGTTCTGTCTTGCAGGGGGAGCTCCGGGATTACGGAAGCATCAGGGGATCAGACTCAGGCCATCAGACTTGCACCACACGTGCTCTTACCCTGGGAGCCACCCTGCCCCAGCATTGTTGTCTTGTAAGGGGGCTAGTTCATATTGTAGTGAGAAGTGACAGAGACAGTCTGTCTGCCTGGTGTGTGGGAGCCCAGCACAGTGCTCTTCGGTAGCAGCTATAAAGAGAACCCTGACGATGCTTGATTTCTTGGCATAGGTGCCATTCAGGGCTCCTTGAATCTGTTTGGATGACATCGTGATATTCCCACATGCCCAGTATCACTGGTAGATGCTATCACTGAGGCCATTGTCAGTATACATTTTTAAATTCTTTCAGTCTACCTATAATTCTATACAGGCCAATTATTACATAAGAGAAGGACTGGCCAGGATGGTAGTTTGTGCCTATAATTGCAGCATTTAGGAAGCTGAGGCAGGAGGATCAGTAGTTCAAGGCCTGCCTCAGCTACAGAATGAGTTTGAGGCTGGACTGTGCTGCATATGACCTTGTTTGAAAACCCTGCTCTCTACTTTCCAAAAGACAGACAGACAGAGAGGGAGGTAGGAAGGGGTAGAGAGAAGGAGACAGAGAGAAAAAAACAAAAACAAAGGCAAATGGACGTTTGGGAGCCCTGGGGCAAGGACAATATCCTCCAAATGGCAGAGGCAAAGGCAGGGTCAGCCATGAGTAGAGTCTTTCAAGGCAGGATTCATTCAGGGAGAGACCAGAAGGCCAGATAGGCCTGGATTCTGTTAACCTTAACCTAGTTTCTGGGATCAGTACATGAGACTTTGGGGTTCTGTCATATGTCTCTGCCCGACCTTCAGCCTGAGGAACCCAGTGGCAAGGTTCCCTTCAGATCAGTTCTGCTGAGGTCAGAGAAAGCTGGGGTGCCGTACTGCAGAGAGCCCAACATGTATAGCTAAGACTTTGCTTTTGGCCATGTGTCCTCAGGCTCTGGAGTCCCAAGCAGCCACGGCTCCTGCCACGGCTTCCAGCGGCAGCCCCAATGCCGTCTCTGTCCATCACAGCACCCCTGGAAATCAAGGTGGCACGGAGCCCATGGATACGGACGCTCCAGAGGACGGGAGGACACAAGCTGATGGGAGAACCGGAGGCGGGAAGGAAACACAGACAGATGGAAAGCTGCACGCGGATGGAGGGACTCAGGGAGACGGCACACAAGCCTCCCAGGGGACACAGTTGGACGAGAAGGAACAGGTGGACGTTGTGACACAAGGAAGTGAGAGGCCACAGTCAGACGGGAGCGCACAGAAGGATCCGGTGACGCAGGGAAGGGTGGGTACGCAGGTAGGACAGACACAGGTGGATGAGATATTGCAGCGAGACCCAAGAGACACAAGGATTCAGGAAGAAAAGGAGACACAGTTAATGGACAGCATCTCCACGGCTTTCAAAACCCAATCGGAGCAGCCGTCTGTGGCCAGCCACAGCTCACCACCCAGGGCCCTCAAACTCTCACCATCAGAGTGCCCTAGAGATGATCAGGCTATGGAATGTTTTGAGACGTGCCCAGAAGCATCTCATGTCCAAGAAAAATCTGGTTTCATGCTTAGTTCTGAAGAGCCAGTAGAAACAGCCTTCAAAAGTAATGAGGACTCTTTACTAGGTCCCCTGTCAGGAAACCCTATGTGCCCAGCACAGCTGCCTCCTGAGGGGGACTCAGAACAGTTGGGAGGAGAAACCCATCCAAGGCCACAGTGGTTAGGTCTGGTTAAAGCCAATCAAGAAGCCAGCCTGTTTCAGTGTCCCAAGGAGGAGCAGCCTGGGGAAACGCTGTATGTGGATCTCCCTGGTGGGCATTCGACTGACTCGAGTCAGGAGGTACCCACCACGCCCTCTTCTTCTGGACCAGGCCTGACTGATAGACTGCAGGAGGGGCTACCCAGCCACACAGCTTCTCAGCACATGGGCATGGACGACTTCCTCCCCTCCACGGACCAGGACCTGCTGAGTTCTGCTTCCACTCTGCAGCTGGGGCCAGGGTCCCCCACCCAGAGTCACCCACCAGAAGCCATGGCTACCAGCAGTGGGGGAGCCTGTGCCAAGGAGCCAAATGTGGAGGGGAGATCCTCAGGGACCCGGAGCTGTGACCCTGGGCTGATAGACTCCCTGAAGAACTACTTGCTTCTGCTGCTGAAGCTCTCCAGCCCAGAGACGGGTGAAGCTGGGGCACCGTCCCGGGGAGAGGCTGCCCCTGGAGGCCTAGTTTCCTCCTCTACTCTGGTCCCCACTGTGGAAGTGGCCGGGCTGAGTCCCAGGACATCGAGGCGCATCCTGGAACGTGTGGAGAACAATCACTTGGTGCAGAGTGCGCAGACCCTGTTGCTGAGCCCCTGCACCTCCCGCCGCCTCACTGGCCTCCTGGACCGTGAGGTGCAGGCTGGCCAGCAGGCTCTGGCTGCTGCCCAGTGCTCCCGGGCCCCGTGTCCCAGCCCCCTCACCATCCCTGCCATCGTGGTGGGTGAGGAAGCGTCTGGTGCTGGTGAGGGAGGGGATTCCAGGGAGGAGATCTCCCAGGAAAGTGACAAGAAAGGACTGCTGGGGGAAGTGGGTGAGCAAACCGCAGAGAGCAGGACCCGGGGAGCCCCTCGAGAAGACGCGACCCCAGGGGAGGCTTTGACAGGTCTCCCTGCAGCTACCCCCGAGGAACTGGCTCTCGGGGCCCGGAGGAAGCGGTTCCTCCCTAAGGTCAGAGCGACCTCAGATGGAGACTCGAACAAGGCTGAAGAACGGGAGAGCCCTACAGTTTCCCCTCAGGGACTCAGGAAGGGCCTGACACCTGGGTCTCCAGGGACACCAGGGCGGGAGAGACGGTCCCCTACCCAGGCCCGAAAGACCAGCATGTTAGAGGTACCCGGGACAGAAGAAGAGTCTGCACCAGGAGACCTGGGCCCCAGACCCAAAGCCAGTGGCCTGGACTCAGAGCCCGCCCTGGAGGAAGGCAAGCAGGAAGCTCTAGCCAAGCCAAGGAAAGCCAAAGACCTGCTTAAAGGTGAGTGTGGGGAGGGGAGGGCTGCCAGGAAGGTAGCCTAGTTGAGCCTGGTACTCCTATGTCCAGCATCATCCTGCGGTGGGGGAGGGTCTCCTCCCTGCTAGGGATCAGCGGGTACTTTATGAGCCGTCAGAAAGGCCTGGCAGTTTTCATGCTCTCCTTCCTCACGAAATGAGGTGACAGTGGCAGTAGCTGTGGTGCCGTGAGGGGTCAAGGCATGGGAGAAATCAAGGACTAGGTGAGGTATTGTGGGAGACATCTTTGATCCCAGCACTCCAGAGACTAAGGCAGAAGAACTGAGAAAGTTCGAGATCAGCCCAGGCTACGCTGGGAGACCCTGTCTGAAAAACCAAACCAAACAGCAAAAACAAAGCAAGCAAACAGAAAGGCACCACTCAGTGCAGAGCACGGCTTCAGTGGCATCCTAACTGTACCACCACCATCACCCTTTACAGACTTGTTACCCCTGGTCAAGATAAGATCGAAGGCAGGTCTGTCAAGACAGGAACCTTACTTGACTGCTTGTCACTGTTGATGTGCTTGGCTACCAGTCCCTCCCCAGCCTGGAGTTGGGGTGGTTTTTATTTTCCTGATTAAGGTGTGTGTGCTGCAGGTGGGGTCAGGGTAGAAGCCTAAGATGTAGGTGGGAGGCAGCCAGGGCTACGAAATGCTGGGTTTATGTTTGCTGCTTTCTCTCAGCCTGTTTCCCAGGGAAACCAGGGATGCAAGGGTGTGGCCCGAGGACACAGGGTACTGGAGATATAACGGGGCTCCTGTCCGCAGCCCCACAGGTGATCCGGAAAATCCGGGTGGAGCAGTTTCCAGACTCTTCTGGCAGTCTGAAGCTCTGGTGCCAGTTTTTCAACATCGTTAGTGACTCAGTCTTGACTTGGGCAAAGGATCAGCACCCAGTGGGCGAGGTGAGCAGGAGGTAAGCCACCTGGGTACCACCACCTCCTGACCAGGCTCCCCAGTTACAGTCACGTTGGACGTTGTCCTAAGGTTTCCAGTCCATCCCCTCATTTCACCTCACAGTGGACAGCCCCAATGAGTGAGTCTGTTACTTCATGTGGAGATCAGAAAATTGAAGCCCAGAGGGCTTAAATCACACAGCGAGTGTCACCTGTGTGCCTGGGGACCCGTCCCCAACCGTGGGACTTCTCATCGCCTCCCCAGGGCCTGGGTTCCCAGCAGCCTGTGAGAGTTGGGTTGAAGGCCCCGTGTCATGGTGATGACCCTCACAAGAAAGTTCTCCATTCTCTGCAGTGCAGGGGACGAGGGGCCGGCGGCCTTGGCCATCGTGCAGGCGTCTCCCGTGGACTGTGGCATGTATCGCTGTACCATCCATAATGAGCACGGCTCAGCCTCCACTGACTTCTGCCTCAGCCCCGAGGGTGAGTGTCCTGCCGCTAGGATCTTAGCTGGCCTGACCTTGTGGTTGGCAGCGCTGTGCGGTGCAGGGGTGGTGCTCTGCGGGGACAGACAGCCTGAAGGCAGTGGCATCCTCTTTCTCTCCACACAGTGCTGTCTGGCTTCATCTCCAGAGAGGAAGGTGAAGGTATGTTGTACTCTGGGTAGGAGGGTGGGCCTTCATCCTCAGCTCCGCCCTTCGCAGGGATTCCTTCCTTAGGGTTTACGATCTTTCCTAAGTCTGCATGCTGCTTCCCTCGGCTCCCCACTTTAAGATATGGCTTGGGGGGATGATGGAGAACTGATACCCCCCCATCTGCTTTCTCTCTTGCCATTCATTTGTTGAAGTCACTTGATGAATAGAATTTGTGTGTATGTATGTGTGAGTACATACTCAAACATGTATGTAGATGCTAGTGATCAACTTGGAGTGTTGCTCCTCAGAATTTCCCTTTTTGAGATATGTTCTCTCACTGAGACCTGGATCTCTTCAATTTGGCTGGCCATTGAACCCTGGGGATCTTCCTGTCTCTGTTTCTCTGGGGCCAGGATTCATGACAGTGTTCCCTGACAGGGGATTGAACTCAGGTCCTCATGCTCTACAACCTGAGCTGTCTGCCCAACCCCTGTAGAAGTTCTCATAGTCTAGATTTTGTTCACCATATCTTGTGTACCAAATCTGTCCATCTGTGTGCTTCTTCTAACTGATAGCTACGGGTCTGGCTGACTCTGGCTGCTGGGGGACAGCTCTTTGGGTGATTGGTGAATGAGGAACTCCGAAAGGGTAGTGGGATTTTAACATATTTGATATGCACAGTGCTTTACACTGATTATTCTCTTTGTTGCTAAAAATGCTTCATTTTGGGCCAAATGGAGCCCCTTTGGTTGGCTCTTATGCTCTTTTGACAAATATTCAGTAGTTTTCATTGTTGTTTTGTTTTTACAGTCGTGGGGATTGAACCCAAGTCCTGGCATATACTAAGCAAATGCTCTCCTATTGAGCTTATCTCCATCTGCCTTTCTTACCTTTTATTTTGAGACAGAGTATCAGCAAGTTGCTTACACTGTCTGGGCTACTATGTTCACCCATAGGAGCCCAGACAGGCCTTCACCCTGTGGTCCTGTGGCCTCAGCCTCCCAAGTATCGAGGATGGAAAGGCCTGCACCCTGAGGCCTGGCTTTCCTGAGTTCGTGGTCATGTCCTTGTTTTCTGGTGGTGTTCAGTGGTTTAGATCCATACTGTACACTTCCTATTGTTTCTTCAGAGAGTTCTACTTCCTCTCAGTGGGAAGCAGTACTGAGTGACCATGCTGGGCACTGGTGCTGCTCACTGCTATTGAATGGGCCCGGTAAACTTATTTTCGTCAGACATGTTGGTTGAAGTAAAGTCACTGAATTCTTTACTCAAAACACTTAACTCTATGAGGTCATTCTGGGGATCTGTGTTGACTGCAAATGCTGTAGAAGACCTGGCCCTCTGCAGGCTCTTCTGGGGGGCATTCACTGTCTGACGGCGCCGTAGGACCGATGCTAAGTGGTAGGAGTCCAGCTTCCGCACCAAACGCCCTCCTGTGTGACCCTGCATCGGTCAGGCAGGAGATAGGAGTTCTCATGTCTCTCCTGTCCCCTTCAGTTGGAGAAGAGATTGAGATGACCCCCATGGTGTTTGCTAAGGGTCTGGCTGATTCTGGATGCTGGGGGGACAAGCTCTTTGGGCGACTGGTGAGCGAGGAACTCCGAGGGGGTGGACATGGATGTGGCCTTCAAAAGGCTTCGCAGGCCAAGGTCATCTATGGGCTAGAACCCATCTTCGAATCCGGCCGCACGTGTGTCATCAAGGTATCCAGCCTGCTTGTGTTCGGACCCAGCAGCGAGACTTCTCTTCTGGGCAGAAACTATGACGTCACTATCCAGGTACTGCCCCCCTCCCCCCACCTAACCCCCACCTACTCTATTACCTCTTTGCCTTCCCCAATCTGGGTTCTTTTGGAAGCCCCATATAGAGATAGACACCACCTTCATTTCAAGCTCACAAGGCTTCTAGGGTGGGGCTTCAGGGACTGGCTGAGCTGCAGCTGTGAAACCAGACCCTTGGCCTCAGAGAACGTTAGAGTCTCAGATAATTTAGAATCTATGTTTCGAATTATCTGTGTGTTGTTTCCACACATGTGTGTCCATGCAGAAGACAAGGGAGAATGTTGGGTATTCTGCCCTATCACTCTCTGCTTTATTCACTTGAAACAGGGTCTTTTACTGAACCTGCAGCTAGGCTGGCAGCCGGGAAACCCTAGCAGCCCAGATACAGGACTGCACATAGCCAAGGCTGACTTTTACATGGATCCTTGGAATTTGAACTCAGGTCTTCATGATTGTGCAGCAAATGCTCTTACCCATTGAGCCTTTTACTCAGCCCCTACATACACACACATATATATATATATATATATATATATATATATATATATATATATATGAGAGAGAGAGAGAGAGAGAGAGAGAGAGAGAGAGAGAGAGAGAGAGAGAGAAGAGAGATAGAGGGGAGATAGAGGAGAGAGAGAGTTGTCTTTTGAGTCAGGTTTTTTGTTTGTTTTTGTTGTTGTTTTGCTTTTGTTTTTAGAGACAGGGTTTCTCTGTAGCTTTGGAGGCTGTCCTGGAACTCACTCTGTAGACCAGGCTGGTCTCGAACTCACAGAGATCCTGCCTATCTCTGGGATTAAAGGTGTGTGCCACCAATGCCTTGCTGAGTTACAGTTTTTCTAAAGTAACTCTGGCTGGCCTGGAATTTACTATGTAGACCAGGCTGGTTTTAAACTCACAGAGATCTTTCTGCCCCTGCTTCCTGAATGCTGAGATTAAAGGCTTGTGCTTTTACAGTCACTTAAAAATTTTTTGGGGGCCAGACGCTGGTGGCGCACACCTTTAATCCCAGCACTCGGTGGCAGAGGCAGTCGGATCTCAGTGAGTTCCAGGCCAGCCTGGTCTACAGGGTGAGTGCTAAGACAGCCAGGACTGTTACACAGGAATGCTGTGTCTTGAAAAAAATTTTGTGTGTGTATAGTATTTTGCCTATGTGTGTGTGACATTGAGGAGAGGGTGACACGTGAGCCCGGGAATCAAACCTAGTTCCTGTGGAAGACAGTCAACCACAGATCTCTCTCTTCAGTCCCCAAAATATCCTTTTCTTTTCAGAAGCCTTCTCCCACTTCAAAGTCAATCTCGTTGAAGTCTTACTATGTGAAATAAAAGGGAGTAACGTGGGCAGAGAGGAGAGTCTGCCCCAAGTTCTGCAGAGGGGTCCCGGGGCACCATTCCCTGGCATTAGGGCTCCAGTAAACCCAGGTCAGAAGCCACCTTGAAAACCTAAAATTGACAAAAAGCCCGCAGCCCATTGTTATTCAGAAGAGAAAACTGGGCGCAGAGGAGAAAGCCTCAAGCAGCGAGCCCTGCTTTCCATAGGTCGGGAATTCACCTTCGTTCCCCGGGAAGGCAGTCTGTTCTCTCAGACTGTCTCACCAGACAGCCATGGAGCTTCCTTGCTGTGAGATGTGCTTTCTTCTAATCCATAGGGGTGCAAGATCCAGAACATGAGTCGTGAGTACTGCAAAATCTTCGCAGCTGAAGCCCGGGCAGCGCCTGGCTTTGGGGAGGTGCCTGAGTAAGTGTACCAAAGAGGGGTTGGGTAGCCCGTGCCTTGAGCTTGTGCAAAGACAGTGGTTTCATAACCTCCCAGGGCCCTCCCGAGTTCCAGCCAGGTACAGGTGATCTTAGAGTCACCCCACACTCAGCTCAGCGGTTCCACATTTGAAAGTAATGACATCAAGATTCACTATCCACTTTAGGAAAGCCTTAACCACTCCCCCACCCCCAATTCCTTCCCTTCACCATCAGCTGAGATTTTCCCTGTTTCACAGGCTCTGGGGCTCTGGAGGGAGGGGAGGGGTGGGCAAGCTAGGCACCTGGGTAAGATTCTAATGTGGCCTGTGGACAGAGTGGCTCGGTGTGGACTCTTGGCACGAGCAGTAAAAGCCTCTCTGCATCTGGTCTCCCTCTGGCACCAAACCACCAAGTTGTGCTGACATCCCTGAAATTCTTCCTGCAGGTGTCCTTTCTATTTGCACATGCTTTCCTCAGCCCTCACCCAAACACAGGCTGCCTGGGGCCACAGCAGGGTTTAATTTTAGTCCTACTGACCACAGAGAATGGGTCAATCTCTGAAGTCAGTGGTCATTTTCCATGCCCCCTCTGTCCTTCATGCCCAGGGCTGAGAACTCTTTCCAGGAAGGTCCCTTCTTATAGGTAAGGAATGAACAGGATAGGCTGGGCGGTAGTGGCACACACCTTTAATCAACGCACTTGGTGGGGAAGAGGGGCAGAGGCAGGTGGATCTCTGTGAGTTCGAGGCCAGCCTGATCTACAGAGTGAGTTCCAGGACATCCAAGGTTACACAGATAAACCCTGTCTTGAAAAAGAAAGAAAGAAAGGAAGGAAGGAAGAATGAATGAACAGAACAGGAGAAGGTGTTCTCTGTGGCTACTCTCCCAACTCTCCCAACTTACTGCAGTGTGCAACTATCTTTAGGATCATCCCACTCTATTTGATCTACCGGCCTGCAAACAACATACCATACGCTACCCTGGAGGAAGATCTGGGCAAGCCCCTGCAGTCTTACTGTTCCCGGCAATGGGGCTGTGCTGGGGCCCCAGCAGCATCTAGCAGCTCGGAGGCCATGCAGAAGTGCCAGACCTTCCAGCACTGGCTGTATCAGTGGACGAACGGCAGCTTCCTCGTCACAGATTTGGCAGGTTCGCGGGTGGAGGATGCACGGGGGCATGGGGTGGACGCATGCGGAGAAGGCAGAGCTCAGCTCAGGCTTGCTAGCTCACAAAGCCCTTATCCTCCTGTTAACAATGGCTGTAAAACTAAGATGCGGCAGAGACCGTTGTGCATGCAGCCCCTACCTACGCCAGGGCCTTGTGTAGCCAGTTTGTAATGTGAAGTCCAGACCCACCTAAAAGTGAAAGATTTGTTTTAGATTTCAATTTATTATGCAAACTTACGTACAATAGTTGGGCTTTTGTTTGTTTTAAGCTTTTGTTTATGAGACAGGTCTTGCTATACAGCCCTGGCTGGCCTGGAACTTGATGTGTAAACTACACTGGCCTCCTGTCTCCCAAGCACCAGGCTTGCAGATGTACCCAGTGGCACCCTGTTCCCAGTTGCATTTAAAGGGGTTCAGTTCAGGCCCACTTGCTTATTTTCTAGAGCATTCCGTGGGATCTAATTCAAAACCCACAATCAGCTCTCCGATACCGCCTTTGCCTGCCGCCCTGCTCTTGACTTTCTCCCTTCCCAAACATCCCAAACACTCTGCTACCATAGTGCAAAACACTTCATTGCCAGCCATGCTGCTGCACGAAGCTAAAGCAGAATTCCGAGTTTGCAGCCAGCCTGAGCAACAAGTGAGACCCCATCTCAAACATAGACAAACTGTCATCCCAACACTCTGCAAATAGAGACAGAAAGATCAGGAGTTTGTGGTCATCCTTGGCTACATAGAGAGTTTAAAGATAGCCTGGGCTACTGGAGAAGTAAGTGTGTGTGTGTGTGTGTGTGTGTGTGTAACTAGGTGATATACCAAGCCATCATCGTCTACTATATTAATTCACAGTGCACACCTATCATGTCAGCACTATGGAAACGCAGTCAGGAAATTAGCAAGACCGTCTTATTAAACTACAGATAAAATAAAACAAACACCAAAGCAATCAGAAGGGAAGCAACACTCAGGCAGGGCAAGCCATCGATCTCTCTGGGCTGTAGTTGCCTTTCATTCTCTCGCATGGTATCTTCGTGCCCCTCAGACTTGTGATCAGCATCGAGACCCTGCCTTTGGGAAGGCCTTTTGCAAGCTAAAATTCCATGCAAGTCTCATTAGTATAACACAAAATGGAATGCGATAAATGAAGCATACAACTCAGAAGATAGTGAAATCTAAACCTAGTTCCGTCTCGATCCACAGCTCACGTTTGTCACATGATGACTCCAGGCTGTGAGGGAAAGGCGGCTTCTGGAGAGATGCTAGGCAGCTTGTAAAGGGGGGCATAGGTCCGAATCTGAATGCTGAGACACTTATGGACTAACCTCCCTGGGAGATGTTTTCCCATCCCCGCTGTGCCAGGCCGTGTTCTCCTTTACTTACCTGACTCCCTGGTGTCTTAGAGAGCCTGTTGCCTTCTTGAGAGTGCAAACTCTTGTCTTAGCCAGTGTTGTATTTCTGCTGGTCTCACTCCTATCTTCTCTTCCCTGGTTGGACTGAAAGACCCTTCAGTCTTTCTCTCAGGACCCTCGCTCCAAAGACCACCAGGGAGCCGAAGTTCACTGCAAAACACAAGAGGATTTTTATTAAGCCAGCGCACCAGGGTTCAGCAGCCTTGGGAAGGAGTGAACCCCGAGCAGAAATTACAGCGAGTTTTTAAAGGCTAAAACCGCAAACGGGGTGATGGGGTACAAGGGGAGTTTGGAAGTTGGTGCCAGACCTTCATGAATCACGTATGCTTGTGGCTGTCTGGCTGACTGGCTCGTTATCTGTCTCAGGCAATGTCTGTGCCCTGGCTGAACTTTGTGACCGGCCTGGAACCTTGAGGTCTGGGGAATATTCCCAAGTCCTTGAGGACTGAGATCTGGGAAATATTTTCAAGTCCTTGAGGACCACCAGGGGAAGATGTTTAAGTGTAGCTGTTCATGTCCAAGGATGGGACAGCTTAGTAATTTTCCAACTATTGGGGGGCTAACTGTTGGGGCTCTTCAGGACAGTTACCCTGTTAGGGGGAGGGAGAAGGTTTTAGTTCAGAGCCCACAAATGATCCACTGTGTGGACTGGCCTGACTTATAAGCTACACTGGCTTGCAGAGTTGGCTCCAGTCAACTTAGAAGTTTCTTTCTAAGGTGATACCATGCTGGAGACACGGGGTCCCAACAGCTGGCCAGGTTGCCATCAACCCCCTATTTTCTTCCCGCAGGGGTTGACTGGAAGATGACAGACGTACAGATCGCTACCAAACTTCGAGGGTGAGTGCTTCTTGAAGACAGAATGTCTTGGAGTCTTCCCAGGGTGTCAGATACCCTGACTCACCATGACTCTCCTTCCCTGAGGCGCTGAGCCTGGGGCTGCATAGTCCCAGTCGTGTGAACCGTGACCATGTAGTAACTGGTGACAGCCTGGGGAAACTGATCCTCCCCACCCCATAACCGTAACCCACAATGCCCACACAAAAATCTTCCTACAATTCTGGGCCCTCTTCCGCTTCCTTCATCTTTGAGAAAGCTTCAGGACATAGATGAGCAAAGGTCCTACAGCCAGAACAACTAGACTGCCAGGCCACCAGACTACAGCAATCTACATTTTAAAAAACGGCCCATATGATGACTCCTCTGTGCCAGGGTATGAGGAACCCATTTTAAATCTGAGTTTGGGAGGGAACCACCTGAGGTAGCATTCTGGTACAGCACAGCCCTCTGATGTCAGCCAGCTACCGTGCACCTTGACATAGTAGGGCCCGCTCAGCTCTTGTGTTTGGTTGCAGATACCAAGGCCTCAAGGAGAGCTGTTTCCCTGCCCTGCTGGACCAGTTTGCCTCTTCACACCAGTGCAATACCTACTGTGAGATGCTGAGGTTGAAACCCCTCAAGGTCCCTGAGGCTGCCCACCCCCAAGCCAAGGCCAAAGGCTCCAAGAGTCCATCTTCTGGCAGGAAAGGCTCCCAGCTGAGCCCCCAGCCTCAGAAGAAAGGTGTTCCAAGTCCTCAGGGCTCCCGGAAGAATGCTCCCAGCTTCAAGGCCACACCTCAGGCCTCCGAGGCAGTCACTGTTCAGTTATTGGGACAGGCCCCTGCCCAAGAGGGGGGCTCTAAGGCCCAAGGCATGCGGTAGCCCCAACAGGAGGCTGGGGGCCTCTACCCGACAGCAGACCAACAGGAAGCAGCTTGAACCGGATGGAGATGTTTTCAATTCAGGACTAACCAGAGAAGGTACCCAAAGCAGGTACCTCTTGGGGACTTCTCTGAGTAGTTTCACCTCAGTGAAAGGTGTTGGGCATGGCACATGGCCTGTTGGCCTCTTCTAGTGCCATTGTTGCCCAAGGCTCCCAGGCCGCCAAGTGGGGCCCACCTCCAAGTACCTGGTGGCCTCGGCCCCCATTTAAGTTTACACTTGCCACTGCTGGAGGCTCCGAGTCCTCTCCACGAGTTCTGCTCTCCACGAGCTCTGCCCTCTTGACCCCAGCCGCCGCACGAGCACTCTGGGGCCTGCGGGCCAGCATTGACCTTTCACCCATGCTTACCCTGGCCCTCTCGCTGTCCTCAGGGCACCAGACTTCCTGTGGGGTCTAGCCTGTGACTCTCAGGGTTCCATCTCCTCTCAGCCTCTTGCCTCATTCATCACCACTCATCCTGCAACTAACCTGTCCCGAGTCCAGATGGGACCCAGGCCCCTTCTGAAGCCCACCCTGTCTTTGTGCAGAGTTTTGTTTTGTTTTGCTGTTGATGATCCATGTTCTTGTCACTCTGGCACTTACTTGTTTCCCATTCTTCCTTGCACACACCCCCATCCCAGGCTTTGAACCCAGAGCAGTCTGCTGCCTGCCCTGCACCGGCTTTTGCTCGTCCCTTTGTCCGCAGGCTCCTTCCTTCCCGACCAATGGCTGGGCGAGGAACAGCCTCTCTGGCTTCACTCCACCTCAGTGCACTCTGCCCTGGTTCTCCCCGCTTCTCTGCTCAGGAGGAGGGAGGCGGCATGAGGGCACTACTGGGGGCAGAGGGAGGGCTTTGACTTTGAGGCACCTTGTGCTTTGTTCTGATAGCAGTGGGGTTGTAGTCAATGTCACATCTCTGTCCTAAAGGAGATGACTGGGACTCTTCCTCATGAGGGTGGGGGACACGGCGTGTCCCGGGAGGGTCGCAATCATTTGTGTGCTGGGGTTGAGAAGGACATCTCTGTACCTACCTCCAACCATCGCTCTTGATCCTGGGGCTCAACTCCAGATGCTCAGGTGTGTGTTCCCAGGGACTTTCTGTGCTGGGTGGGTCCTTCTAGACACCCCTCCTTGAGACCCAGGATGGGGTAGGTCTGGAGCTAGCCTGCTCCCCTTGTTATGCAATAAAGGCAGCAACTGTGTGTCCTGTTTGTTACCCTCATCTGGTGTGACTATTGATTAAGAATGGTCTAGCAGGCTCTCTGTAGTCCCTGGGCCTGTGGCAAAATGGATCTGATTTGGCTCCTAGCCTGGTCTGGCCTCAGCCATCTGTGGCTGCTGGACAGTGCATGTTACAAACAGTGCAGTGGCGCTGATGGCTCCTGCCCTGCAGCAGGGGCCTGGGAACTTAATCCCCTCTGTATCCAGTCTTCATTTGGGAGAGGAACTAGAAGGAAGGGGTCCGAGAAGAGCAGAGCTAGGGGCTCAGCAGAAACTTCATCTCCGCTGCTTCCACCAGCAAATGGGGCCCAACAGCAGGGCAGCTGCCTTTCACCCCCCTGCTGGTCCTTTAGTCCTTCTCAGCAAGTGCTCACGCCCCGCCCTGCCCCGCCCCGCCCCACCCAGGGCCTTATACGGGGATGCTTGTAATTTCTCTACCTCCTCCCTGGTCAGGTGACTCCTCGCTCTTTCCTCTTGCCCTGGGGTGCCCCCAGTTCTACAGCCTGCACATCCAGTGAGATCTGGGCCATTGTTCATGCATTCATTCATTCAGCAGACACGTATGTAGTAAGCACCAGACCCAGACTGGCAGCTTTTGAAAGGCAACATGCATCAGTTTGGGAGAGATATGTATCTTTTAGGATGTGGATTTAAGCAGCAGAAATAATAACTTGGACCAACTCTATGGAGAAAAATGGCTGTGGGAAGGATATTGAACTAGCTCACCCACAGAACCAAAATAATAGTTGAATGGTTAGGCTTGGGGAAGGCTAACCTAGTAGCTGCTACCTTTATCCCCAGGAGGTTCCTCCACCAAAATTCAAATTCTAGCCAAGACAATCTGGCCTGGGGCTCAGGGACTCACAGGGTGGGAGAGAGGCAGTATTCCAAAATGTATTCCCAAAGCTGAGGATTGTTTTTGAAACAGCGTCTCAGGTAGCCCAAACTCATTATATAATAAGTGAGAGGTTGGCCCTGAACCCTGGGATTACAGGTGTGCCACACCCACGCTAAGAGGAATGGAGAACAGAAGGACAGAAAGAAGGTGGTAGGCAATGCTGAGAGATAGCCCTGGCACAGATACAAAAACTTCCTCCTGTGTTCTGTCACCACTCCCACATTTCAGCCAAAACCCAGCTCCCTGCTCAGAGAGGGACACATTCAATACCCAACTACTAAGTCTAATGAGGAGGCTGCCACTTGTCAAAGTTGGGTTCCACTAACTATGGTTCTTCAGTTTAATCATACTCCCACTTAGAAATTCTGCATTCTGTGAACCAGCAAGATTAACCAAATTGAACCAAAATTATAGACCCTCCTGGATTTTAGCCTCTTAGGCTCCATTCTCAAGTCTTGTCCCTTACGAGTCTTGCCTGTGCGACAGGTCCTTCTATTGAACATGCCATGCCAGAAGTACTTCAGGAATCTTGTCTCTGGTCTTGACCTATGTCACATAGTAGCAAGTTTTCTTTCTACTATAGAGTTCCTGCTAGCTGTATCCATAACCTCTTTCACAGTGCTCAAGGTATAAGGACCCTGAATGGCAGGTGGCTGCCTTGGCTTAGTGTTGAGTTACTGTATCTTTGAGGATGAGTATCTCCCTTGGGGACCTAGCGAGGAGCCAGAGAGCTGTTCTCAGAACGGTATTACTTGTTGACTAGAACATCATTTGGTTTCAAACCCTGAATCATATTTTTCTTGTTAGGGCTTAACCGCGAGCTCTCTAGCACGGCCATCACGGGCTCCACATAATTCCCCATGTTCCATAGATAGACACCTCAAGTGCTGTTGGATCTGGCAGCCTGGTGGCAGAACCAGCTACATCAGTAACTTTCCCCACTGGAGAACTTTCGCTTGCTTTAGGCGAGCCCAGAGCTGTCAGCATTCTAGATTGATTAGTCAAAAAGTGGACCTTAACACCCAGGAGTTTGACCCATAGAACAATGTGACTAAAAAAATAAACAACTGTTCTGCTCTCAACAGACCCATTTACTACCAGAACCTTCTCAAGGAGTAAGTGTGTGCTGCTTGCATTTCCAAGTCCTATATTACTCCTCCCTCCCTCCCTCCCTTCCTCTCTCTTTCTCTCTCTCATACACACACGTATTATATACGGTATTAAGGCATCCAGGGAAATTGTTGATCCCCTAGTCCTACAGACCACAGAAGTAACACGGAGCTCTTGAAGGAGGTTGGAAGGAACACACATAGTGTGTACCTGGCTGTAAGAACAAGGGCTTCCTTCAAAGAGATATTTGGTTGCCTGACTTCCTCTGCAGGTCAAGTCTGGAGCTCAGGTAGGAGATCTTGACTTTCACTGTGGCATATTGAGACTGACCTGTTGGTCCAACCAAAGGTCTTTAGTCACAATGACCACTAGGTTACACTTTGGGGCTGTCTGACCGTTCCCATTCCTGGGGAGTGCTCTATCAGCTCCAAGGCTGGTTCCTACAACCAAGTCCATTAGTCACCCACCAGTAGTGTAGCGTCAGCAAAGGGAGAGCACGGAGGAAACACTTCTGTCAGCTCATATTCACTGTACTCTGAACACTGTTGGGCAAGGTGGCGATTTCTGAGACTGGGCGAGGCTGTTTTTCCACTGCTGAGGTGAGGAGGCACTCTCATAGCCAGTACTCCTGGGGAAGCCAACAGAAGCTCACCCATTTCTCATAGACAGGGGAGTCCATCTTGTTTGTCCTGCCCGGAGGCAGAGACAGGTGGGGATGAATGCAGGCCAGAGACCCAATAAAACATTTTTGTCTCCTGAAATCTTAGGTCCTGCTTTTCTTGTGTTGGTCTTTGTGTGGTTGAGAGCATCTGGGGGTCCTGCTGTGTTTCCCAGCTTGGCTCCAACTCCATCCCAGTCTCCCAAGTCACCGGGACAATAGGCGCACATAACTACAGCAGCTCCTTCCGGCTTTCACATAACCTACATAGGCAAACGTTTGGTCCAGATTCATGCTACCCATGCCCCTCAAAAATGGGAAAAACTGTCAGACTCTACGGGGCTCTATACGGAATGAAGAGCTTCCGGTGAGTGTGCGTCAGTAAGTCCTGAGACAGGATTCTGCCGCTCATCTTGCTGAGCAGCGTTCCACAAGTTTCTGCTTATTCTCTGCGTAGTGTTGTCTCTATTCTGTGCAGTTTCTTCTGGGCACAGTGTCTTCTTCCCTCATATGATGCTGCCTCTGTACCTACCGCTGCAGAGGGTGGACTCAGCTTGTTGGCAGAGCAGTAGTGTAGCGTCAGCAAAGGGAGAGCACGGAGGAAACACTGCTGTCAGCTTGTATTCAGTGCACTCTGAACGCTGCTGGGCGAGGAGGTGATTTCTGGGACTGGGCGAGGATGTTTCAACTAGTGGCAGGTTTCCAACTTTACAGAATTGACCTCTGACTTTATTTTTAAGCAAAAGCAACGGCTACAAGCTGCATGGAGATTTCTACATAAGTACAGCAAGGCCCCTCGTTTCACTCCTATGGAGGGGAAGAGAATTTGAACTATCACAAATGACTTTAAGGGTGACCAGTAAGGAATGGTAAGGTGGCTCAGGGGGTAGGGGCATGGCCTCCTGCCTGATGATACAAGTTTGATCCATGGTAGAAGAGCGTCAACTCCTGCAAGCTCTCTTCTCTCTCCCTCCCACACATACTAAATGTAATATAAATCATCAAAATTTTTATTACTTTTATTTGTACATTCATGCATGTATGTGGGTGGGGAGTACCCTTGGAGGCCAGAAGAAGGTACCACACTCCCTTGGAACTGGAGTTACAGGCTCTTGTGAGCTACCTCACATGGGTACTGGGAACTGAATTTGCTTCCTCTGGGAGGGTAGCAAGCACTCTGAATTGCTGAGACATCTGTCCAGCCCCCAATGTAATAAAAATATTTTTTAAAGGTGTCCAATGACTTCCCCATCCTAAAGTCTGAAAAGGTGTCTCAATGAATCCACCCTGGCTCACCTTCACAATGAACTCCGGAAGCAAGCCTGGACTTCCCTAGGAAGTGAAAAGCCATTCTGGCTGGGCGGTGGTGGCGCACGTCTTTAATCCCAGCACTCGGGAAGCAGAGGCAAGCAGATCTCTGTGAGTTCGAGGCCAGGCTGGACCAAAAGCCTCCAAAACAATACAGAGAAACCCTGTCTTGTAAAACAAAACAAAACAAAGTCATTCAGGCCCATTACCCTCCTGCCTAGTGAGAACATGTGTGTGGGGTTAAGCTCTGCCTGCCCTTGACTTGTTGGGCCCCAGCCCCCATGGATTTCTGTGCATTGCTTGTCAGATGATAGCCACAGGCGCATCCTGTTCTCTAGTCCTGGCTTACAGCCCCGGCCTTGCCCACCTGACATCAACATCTAGCACAAGGAAAACACGAGCTCTTACATCTGGGGTTTCTGCGCTGTGCTGTAAGTCTGTATATAAGGCTGCTCACTCCTTACGGCATACACACAGACGCAGCACATACACATATGCATTCTCCTGGCAATAAAGGTAGCAGACACATTCTCTTAGCACAAATAGCTGGATGTCTTGTTTTTCATTTTCCAGTGTCTCAGATTTGTTCGTGGTGTGGCCGCCACATTGACTGGCTGTTACATAGGTAGGAACAGAGTATTCACAGGATGCCTAGGTAGCCTGTGGGGCTAAGGAAACATTGAATGACAATCCTATGAGAAGATAGTAACTAGGACATTGATGACCCTGGCCTTAGCAACTTGTTGTCATCACATGCTCCCTTTGGACAACTCAAATCCAACAAATCCTTTTGCTTCTCTGAGTTTCCTCTCAAAACAGAAAATCTTGCCTTGGGTCTCATGTTTCCCGGTGGCTGGGACATCAGAGGTACTGTGAGGTAGAGGAGGGCTGATTTGTCTCCTATCTCCACCCCTGAAGTGGGTTATGTTACTAGAAAAACAGCTAGAATGGAACACACAATAAAAGTCCTAGTCCATTCTGTACCCCGAGAGGCATCCACTAGACGTCTGCAAGGTGGCCTAGCCCA